ATAACTCCATTATGAATTAAATTTTATTTTGATAAAATCACAAAGTAGAGTGTCATATTGTAACAACAGAAGACAAGGGCCAGGCAACAGATCGTTTATTAATGAAAATCAACACATATTGGAGTCGCGCTAAATCACGAATTGGTAGAAGTTAGAATTCATGAGCTGGTCATTGAATCGGATCCCAGTGGCTGAATGGTATACGAGCTTGCCTTATAACCGGAAGGTCCTGGGTTCGAATCCCAGTGGGTGCGTACTGCCGATGATTCCAAAACTAGGATGAAACATCAGCTGTCCAGTACTCCCTGGTTTTCAATGGTTCTCTAACTGATATCAATCCGTGATCAACTGGAAAAACATATTTATAGATTTTAATGTACATTATTGTAGATTATTGTTAGTAGAAAATACAGTCTTTTGATTGGTTGTTTCTCACAGAAAGTTAACCTTACATCTCTTTGTGGCTGTGTCAGATCATCCATATGCTAACTGTATCCGCCTACGCAAAGCCTTTGTTCTCATTTTCTTCTCACCACCAATATTGGGGACATAAACATTGACGTCAATTACTGTCTACCAACTTTGGCTAGCAGCCAGTTCTCACCACAATATCTACTGATGACGTTTCGAGCAAAATTTATCGATCATAATCATATCAAGGTACTCTCTTCACGTAACTTTCTTGTTTCATTTATATACATGAGTGAAAATTGATGATTAGACATTCGAATAAAAATCAATATAAGATAAAGTACATTCAGAAATATAATAACATTAGCGTTATCAATCAAATACAATCAGATGGGAAATAAGACGAGTGTTTTTATAGTCAAAATAAGTAACTTGTTAGAATGTTAAAATGTATGTGAATTGAATTAAAATAATTTAAGATTATTTATTATCCTCCTCTGATTTGACTGACTGGTGACAATAATATCTTCCACATCTCTGGCATTTGCATTGAGTCACTTCTACTGCATGTGTTGGGTGTAGACTCAATGAACCAGGCAGGATTCAGTAATCAATTTCTCACTACTTCCGCTTACGTATATTACTTTCTAGAATTTTGACTCTGTCCCAGCCAATTGTGTGGTTGCATGCAGTGCTATTGCTGAGCTTTTTTTTCAAAATTACTTATCTTCATGGGATCAATCATTCTAATCTTAGTTAAATTCTTATGTTCTGATGATCTCACTACTCCTGATCTACTAGTTTCACCTATGTAGTTGACCACAACTCACAATCATTGCAAGGTATTTTGTAAATTATATTATTTTGTTTAATTGGGTCAACCGACAGGGTCCTTTGGCCTACAGAGCCTGTCCTACCTGAGTGAATTTGTAGGTTTTGAATGACACCATCCTAATGCCTGCTTTATTCCCCGAGTTTTATCCTTAAATCAATATCAGATCATCTTGTTGTTGTTATTGTTTCTTCTCAGATCCTTTTCAACTGCTTACAAGGTATTGTGGAACAAACATTTTTTCGCACTGACAAGAAGGTAATTGGTATTTCTAGTATAATTATAATTATTATTAATAATACCTACAACAAGATCCATAAATAACTTCAATCTAGTCTGATTTCAGTTGTTAAGTAAATTATCTGCCGAACTGAATTGCTCACCAACCACGCATGTGGTCCGGGGTTCGATCTCCGGCCACAGACGCACTCCTCCTTTACCTCGCCAAGCCAGTAATAAGACTGGTAAAGAGGGAAGGTTGGGCATGAGGCTGGCTAGCAAGCAACCCCATCCTGTAAAAAATAATCACCACTGCTACAGAAAATTCAAGCCTCCAGCTTGAAGCCCTATGTTCCACTGGGAACGTAAGGAAATAAAAAAATTTTTTAATGTCATTGCTGAATAATTAGATCAATATCCTTGAAAAAAACCAAAAGTGGGGACAGAGTTCAGCAGTTCCTAAAAAGGCCTTATTCTTACAAATGCAATTCCTCGGGGACAACATCAGCGAGATACTAACACAACGCCTTAGGAATGAGGCGGTAAAAAGAGCATTCCCTGCTGCTGAATTACGCTGTGTCTTTAAAAACACACCTATTCTGCGGTCGGGAGTAAAAGATAAACTGCCTAATTTCGCCTCTTCCATGTGTATCTACCAATTTAACTGCTCCTGTGGAGTCAGCCAGTTAGTTGCATAGGCCGTACAATTAGGCGTGTTTCTCGTCGGATTTCCGAACATCAACCTGCATAGTGGTTAAGTAAGCGACAAACAAAATCTATTCGTATGCGCTATTCTATCCCATCTCATGGATACAGAACACAAGATTGATGTTAACCAGGCAGCTTTCAAAGTCATTTACCGCATACCAACAAATCTCAATTTGGCCTTAAGAGTTCGATTACTAAACATTGCTGAGGCTGGCCGTTGGGATCCACATTAAGAAGCCTAATTTATGTGTCCAAAAGAAGCAAGTTCAGACGTTGTCCTTACCCCGCTGGCCATCTAGGTTTGAATGATCCTCAATTTTTGTGGAATTTCCCTAATTTTAGTTGATATTCTATTTGGTATTATATCTTTATTACTATTATGATAACTTAAGCATCTTAAATGAACTGTAATTCCTTCGATCTTACTTTACAAATCGATATTATTTAAAAAACACTAACATTGTTATTGACTACTAATCTAGAATATTCTATGTATATAAACATGCTTATAATTGTAGAGCCAGGGGAAGAAATTATCGAAAAAGATATTCTTTGCTGGCTCAATTATTTTGTGTTTTATAGATGTCTGAATGAATATTTTCGCTATTTTGAAAAGAAACAAGGTTCATTTCAATTTTACATTTTCCTTTCGATTGATTGGATCGAAGTGCTGGGTCTCAGGTGCAGTTGCTTCGACGATGCTTGGGCATGTAATTCGAAATTTATTGGTGGATGGTGAGCATTTCGAGCCTCGGTGGGAACATCATCACTCACTACCGAATGCAAGCGTATCCAGATGACGAGTCCCAAAAAGGACGAAATGCTAGTCACTATCCACCAATTAATTTCTAGAAACGAATTTTATCTACAAAGAGTAAAGTAGGTAGGAATGATGAGAAAAATTTTGTTTGTTTGCCTTTTTTGCTTATTTTGTATTCTAACAAAACGTAGCAAAATGTGAATGACGTTCAGATTTATTTTTTGAAAAAAAAGACAGAAAACAATAATAATAAAATTTTCTAAAAAGGACAGAACCTAATAAAAATTGTTTGACTTTGTTTTGTTAGTTTAATTACTACAACAGTGCAAAGTTCCATCCATCAGTGCCTGTTTTTGAGTACTTTTTGAGTATTTTTTTATCATTAATCTAGAGTCAGTGTTTTGCAAGTATTGATTTTTGTAGGAATTGTATTTTGATTGGTTGGAGGATTTCATCATCAGCTGACATATCGGTTAGATAACCATTTGGAAAACCAGCACTGGAGTACTGGACAGTGAGCTGTTTCGTCGGCCTAGTTTGTGACTCTTCATCAGTAACCACCCAAACATTGAGGCTCGAACCCAGGGTCTTCTGGTTACAAGGTGAGCTCGTTGACCAATGGTTAGGATTTAACCTTGCTAGTATGCAATATATGTAGAACTTCTGCTACCTAGTGTCATCGGTAGGTGTTTGTCTATACATTCGAAGTCTATTTTCGATCATACCTGAAGCTAATAAATCCCTAGAAATTAACATTTAAAAATAATCATATATTATAATAAAGCAATTTTATGTTGAAAAAAAAACTCTCAGAGAATTGGACTGTGTAATATTTGCTCTTCCTACACGATCTTCAGTGCTTCAGTGTGGTTCACTGGTAGAACAATAGTCAACCAAACAAATGACCCAATGTTCGATTCCCAACGATGCCCTTTATCGCCCAGCTGGAAGTAAGCCTGGTGAACAGGTAAGCTTTGGTGTAAGACTGGCAACCGCATCCTGTAAAACGACACCACTGCTACTGGAACTTCAAAGTCACTGGGAACGCAAAGGAAAAAAGAAACCGGATCTTCAGGTAGAAGAATATTAAATTATATATTTAAATATATTTAAATTTCACAAAATAATCATGTTTGTACGAGTTTCACCACGGATTGATATCAGTTAGAGAATCATTGAAAACCACAACACAGAGTACTGGACAGCTATTTCATCTGATGCTCACCACTGACTTGCTACAGGAAGGAATTCGCTGAAATTCTAGTGAGAAGTCGTGACCAGTGAGGTACAGCCAGTGAAGTGGGAGGTCGGATGTCCTACCGATGATATTGGTTGGTGCCAGTCGCGTTAAATCACGAATTGGTCGGAGTTTGAATCCATGGGTTGGCCTATGAGGAGTCGTGTCGGGTGGGGTCCCAGTGGCTGAATGGTATACGAGCTTGCTGGCCCTTAAACCAAAAGGTGGTGAGTTCCAACTGCGATGGTGGGTGCGTACTGCCGATGATTCACAAAAAACTAATATGAAACAGCTGTCCAGTACTCTGTGGTGATTTTTAAATGGTTCTCGAACTGATATCGATCCGTGGTCAACTCGTAAAAAGATGAATTCACCGAAAAGGCTAACTTAGAGTTAAACCACAGACGGAATGCGACGTACTAATAACTTGAAAAGGCTATTATTACATAATAAGTAGACATATTCACGAATATAATGAATAATTTAGCATGAAACTGTTACACAGGATACTTTTCACTATCAGCAACCCATTTATCCTTTAAATATGTTCACAATAAAGGATGACAGAAGCATTTAAACCGTTCTATCAATAAGTTTCAATGGTTATTTCTTTCAGACATTCAGTTCATTGATCAATCAGAATGATGAATACATTTTAAAATTGCCTTCTTCATCGAAAATTAAGGTTTATTCTTACAGACCTATAGACAATTAAACCACCATATTCTAAGACGGAAAATGTGATGCCTATGACAAACAAAAAAAACCACTCGATAAAACTACTTTTTGGAAAACAGGACAACAACTAGAGAAAACGACTGAGACAAATTTTGATTGGTTAACTAGTTAACCAGTCAGAAGTCAAGAAAAATAGCTTGCTAATTTACTTTGTTATCACACCCACGCATTTCATCAAGACACATCGAATAGAAAAAAGGATAAGGTGAGAGACTATGAAGGACACACTGTTAAGGGCATGGCTTAAGGCAGACAGACAACAATTACATATTCTAGACAATCGCGACGCGTGTTTTCTAACCAGCCTACAGTTTTCTTTTCTTTTTTTTCTATTTGACCTTGTTATGTTCTTACCCAAACTCTGCTATTGTTGGGTTATTATTTTTTTTTTGAAAATATAGACAAACATCCGTCAGAAGGGGGCCTTTTTAAAACACTGTTAGTATGATGACATTTTATTCATTGTTGTTGTTCACAGTTATGCTGCGTGACATCGTTTGGATATATGTCATCTGATAAAAAGTTAACTTTTTCATTGAAACATCTTTCCGTATGATATTCCGTTGGTATTGTGGACTTATGTAATGGCGTTTTCTCTTCCAAATAATCCATACTTCAGCTCAGCACCAACTTCTTCTTCTTCTTTATCAGATGTAGCAGAATTCAGGCAAAATTTAGTCTCTAGGATATTTGGCAGACCTCAGGACTATGATCTTTCATCACTTACACAATCCCCCTCGCCTGAATTACTACGTAGACCTGATGTTTCAAATTCACGGAAACCTTTATGTGCACCTAATAATTTACTGAATTCCCCTGGTTGGTTTCAGCATGCACTGGCTTCCAGTCTTCAAATGGGTCTACTATCTCTGCCAAGATATATGCTTAAAGATATTTGTTTACCACCGTTACCACCTCATCCATTGAATATGAGATTACCCAGGACACCGAATGTGTCTTCTGCACCTTATGAACAAATGCTATCCGATGTTAAACCAAAGATTCCGAGTAAACCTCCTCCACTCCGTACAGAACATTTCCGTTCTTCTTCTTCGTCATGTTCTTCATTAAATGATTGTGAAAGCAGCTTTCCTTCATCGTACCACCGTCAACCAACCGTTCGACCGACATTGATGAAAAGGCAAACAGAACGGCCTAAAATGAATTGGTGTTCAAACAACAATGCATCGAATCGTCCTGTCTCTGTTGAACCACAAGATACTGGCACTTTAGTGCCTAGTCTTATTGACGGTGAAGTAATAATGGGTTTTAATGTTTGGGGTGAGAAACGTTTATGTCTGCCACATTTATTTCGTTTTGTACTACACGATGTTGACTTACAGATTATTGATAAAGCGTGTACAAAACTACAAATCGCGTGTACAACATGTACACCAGCTCAATTAAGTCTGTTACATTCACGTCAAATCCTTCCGCGTACAGTTGGCAGTTGTGGTCTTATACGTAAAAGTGATGCAGAAAGACTGACAAAGTATATTCGGCATCAAAGTATGTGTTTAGAAGGAGGAGGGGTGGGTAGTGAAGAAAATCCCACCTTGTCAAAATCTCCTGTGAATGTACACACTAAAGATGAATATGAAGGGAATACTACTTGTAAAGATCAAATGAGACAAATGAGTCCTGCTTCATCAACGGATACAACAAAGTCGACTAATTCATCACTGGGAAATAAACAAGCAGCCTCGTCCTCATTATTATTATCATCCTCATCAGCAACAGATCGTTTAGACTCGGGTCAAGATGAAAATCAACCAGAATTTGGTTGTAAAGCTATTGAATCCAATGTTATACCTGTAATTCATGAATGTTTTGGTCGTCAGTTAGGATTAATCTATCCTGATTTATATAAAGAACCTTATTCAAAGTGTATTAAATGTGTTACTTGTTGTCGATATTTCTCACCGGAACAATTTGTTGGACATACGCACACTGTGACAGAAGTTGATAATTTAAATCATTGGGGTTTTGACTCGACAAATTGGCGATGTTATCTACGATTGTATACAGGTCGACGATTGAATTTAAATTCAACGCCAATTCTTGCTAATATTAATAGTGAACCTGAAGCTTCTGGTAAGACAAATTCAAAAGAACCTGTATTCACTGGAGACGCTCATCGTCGTCTAGAAGAGTTCAAGATTAAATTTGCTCAAGTTAGTTAATTGGTTGTGTTAATTTTCTGTTTGATGTTTAAATGTAAATATTTAGTTTTTTCCATGATTAGTCGTCATATTGGAATTTCTACTCCAGTGTTTTTTTTAAATATTCGCATTGATATTTTTACTTACTTAACTATTTAACCTACGTCCAGAGTTTAAACACACACACACGCACACGTGATCCCGATTTGATTCTCGACTGATGCACCTCTGTACCTTGTTTATTTAGTAGCAGTAGTAAGCTTGGTTTAGAGGAAAAGGTTGGGTGTCAGTCTAACCTTCCTTCTTATCCCTTAGCAAAAGAACTGCCAGTAGGGGAATTTGACAACTGAAGTTAGAAGTCCTACTTGGAATGCAAGAAAATGAGAAAACAGCTAGCTATCTTACATTTAAGTTTCTCACTTTATGTACCTCACCATTTAGGTTGCAATACCTGAGAGGTATGTTTCGCAAATGGTTCTTTTCAGATCGATATATATATATTTTTTTCTATAGTTGGTTTGTAAGGATTAGTTTTGTTTCTGACGAGTTGATCATGGATTGATATCAGTTAGAGAACCATTGAAAAAACTCGCCACTGACTTGCTACACGACGGAGTTTCCTGAAGTTCTAGTGAGAATTCGTGACCAGTGAGGTCCATCCAGTCGAGAATAAGGATCGATGTCCCACCAACGACATTGGTTCGTGCCAGTCGCGCTAAATCACGAATTGGTAGAAGTTAGAATTCATGGGTTGGCCATTGAGGATTCGGGTGGGGTCGCAGTGGCTGAATAGCACATGAGCTTGCTGGCCCTATAACCGGAAGATTGTGGGTTCGAAGCGTGGTGTTGAGTGCTTACTGGCGATGATTCCCAAAAAACTAGGATGAAACAGCTGTCCAGTACTCTGTGTGGTGGTTTTTAAATGGTTCTCGAACTGATATCAATCCATGATCAACTCGTAAAAATATATGTTTTCGTTTCATGTACAATATTTAATGAGAATCTCCTGATGGCCTGATCCTTTACTTCAGTGCATAATCATTCTAAATTGATTTGTTTTGACATTAAATGGACGATATTCATTTGATATTATTTCTAAATAATTATGTGTGTGGTGCACTAGGTGTGATACTTCTTAAAACTTTGTGAAAATGTGATTTATTTGGCGTAGGCAGTCACCCCTTCTAGCCAGTACATCCTGGGTTCGAATCCCGCTCCACAGTTGGATAGTATCATCAGTCTTTACACAGCAAATGTCTATCATACAGCCTGGTACAAAGGAAAATCTCAAAGTTCATGAAAAATCCCCATTTGAACATGAATACAGAGAAGACCAGTAGTAGTTCAGCGAAGAGTCTCTTTTCGGCGACGGCGAATTCATTTTCATAGCTGTACAATCACATATATATATGGTTGTTTTGTAGGTGTGTGTGTGTACATTAAGTTTGTCAAACGAAAATACAATTAGTAAGTTCAGATGAATTGGATGTTGATATGAGAGGGTAGTAACAAAAGTGATGAGTTGTCACAAACGATTGTTAAAGAATAGTTACGTAATAACATGAATAGTTTGATGAAAGAGTTGTGCTCAGGGTGCAGATGGAAACAAAATAACATGCGGAATTACACAAGAGTTTTAAGTAGTTAGAAAAAATAAGCATACAAGCAAAAGTTAAAGTCAAATCAACAGAGTTGTTACCATATGATAGTAGAAGTGGTTGAATAATTTTCTTTTCTATGCATAATTCTGGTTCTCCTAATTGAATGGCTAGGGCTTCTGTAATGCAAAGAAACATATTGTCTTTGGCAGGTTGTTCTTCACTTTGTAGATTACTCAAATCAAAGTAATTGAATTCCATTGATGATATCGATTATTTCCAACGTTGCATTGTGTATAGCAATAAGAAAAATAACACAAATTATATTTTGAATTAATTCAAATGTTTGGTTTGGTTTGTAAGGGTTAGTTTTGTTTCTGACGAGTTGATCACGGACTGATATCAGTTAGAGAACCATTGAAAACCAGGGAGTACTGGACAGGTGCTGTTTCATCAGCCTAGTTTGGGAACCATCGGCAGTACGCACCCACTGGGATTCGAACCCAGGATCTCCTGGTTACAAGGTAAGCTCGTATACCATTCAGCCACTGGGACCCGATTCAATGGCCAGCTCATGAATTCTAACTTCTACCAATTCGTGATTTAGCGCTACCCAAACCATTGTCGTTGGTGGGACATCCATCCACACACATGATATCTAATTGGACCTCACTGGTCATGACTTCTCACTAGAACTCCAGGAAACTCCATCCTGAATTGTTATTGATTGATTGATTTTTTCATTTGCGGTTATTTTCTAATTGATGCTTGTTTAAAAGGAGATGCATAGTTACTGATACTCAAGTTGAAACTTGTTCCGTTAACTTTCTTCTTCTTTAACAATTGAACAGATTTCATGGCTTAGAGTAAACATGCATTCATTAATAAGGCTTCATTTTTATTTATTTATTTATTTTTGTCAATCTGGTTAGATGTAAGCAAAAGTTATCCATATATGTGGGTTTCTGTGCTGTTTCATTTTTTTTATCGTACAATATAGAGAGAGTAAGTAGAGATAACTTCACTCAGTCAATCGGTTCACAATATAGAAATTTAATATATCCCTTTTGTAAACTAAGAAGACATATTTGGTTTATCTGCTTAGAACTCAGTTACCTCCGAACAGGAGGCGCCTTTGTTGTTCCAAGTATACTAACTAGTCTGTCAGCTATACTTGTTGTGCTGAATGAAGATCGTTCAGGTTAAAGTAGGCAGAGCAGGATCTGAAGACATGTTCAAGTCATAAATAAAGTTACATCTTTAGTGGTAGAGAGCTGGCCGACTATGCATGTGGTCTAGGGTTCGAGTCGCAGCTGGCACACACCTTTACCCTCCCTTAGCAGGTTATAATCCCAACAAAAAGATGACGTTGGGCGTAAGGCTAGCAACCCCACCCCCTGTAAAAAAGATAACACCACTGCGCTACTGAAATTTCAAAGCTAAAGCTTGAAGCCCCCACTTTCGACTGGGAGAGTCGGTGGCACAGACCATACAAATGGTCCGGGGTTAGATCCCCTACCGACGCACACCTGACATCAGTTGGTCGACCTGCAAAATTTGGGCTCATAGTTATTTAAATGAATTTTAGATTTTTCCCGTCGATTAACTGGACCGAAGTGCTCGGTCTCAGGTTGACATCTGTCGACTTCTTGTTCAGATGCTTCGACGATGTCTGGGCATGTAATTAGAATTTAATTGGTGGATGGTGACTAACAGTGGAATCCAGGATGCGATGATGGGAACATCATCACTTACTCACTGGGGAATGCAGGTACATCCAGCTACCGACGAGTCCCAAATAGGACGAAGTGCGCGTTATCCTGGAACATTCCACCATCTCATAGTTAGTTAAACTGGAACAATTTGAAGTTTACTGTCTAACTGTTTTGTTATTGTTAAAATTTATCGATTAAAGTATTTCATACCATAAAAAATGTGATCGAAAGCACTATTCCTACTACTTATAAAATGTAGTTAAGACTACTTTGTTGTGTTTTTTCCTCGGCGTTTAAATTATCTCATATTATGTGTATAATAATTTAAATTTATAGTATAAATAACACATAACAAGAGTTTTGGTGTAATGAGCTATTATCTATTGTGTGAGGCCTAGTAGTGCTTACTGGCGGCGGCTGATATCTCACTCGGTTGTAAGTCGAGTGCCACAACTCCAGTGAAGTGATTATGGCGTCAGTATACTACATCATCTTCTACCCGCCACTCCCCTCGCCATCCGTATTATTATTATTATTGTTCCCTTGGGTTCCTAGTGGAACATAGGGCTTCAACTACACGTCTCCACTTGCTTCTGTCTTCTGCTGTACTTTTCACCTGCATCCATGTTAATCCATACTGTTTCAACTCCTCTTCACACGATCTCCTCCATGTCACCATTGCACGTCCCATTCGCCGCTTCCCTTTCGGGTTCCACTCGAGCGATGGCCTGACGCGCAATGTCACCCAACGGCCTCCTCAGCGAGTGTCCAATCCATCTCCACTTTCTCCTGCATATTTGTTGGGCGATTGGTTCTTGTTTTGTTTGTTTTCCCATAGTTTCTTGTTGGTGATTCTTTCCGGCGATCTGATCTTCAGTACAGAACGAAGACAGTTGTTGTTGATAAAGGTCTGCAACAGGCTGTTGGAAATATTCTTTGTGACCCGCCAAGTTCCAAGTGATCCGTACGTATAGAAGAACTGACTGACTTGACGTTTGTATTGAAAATCCGAATTTTGTTGTTGATGTTGAGGAGTGACGAAGATTTCCAGATTGGTTTCAGGTTGATGAATGTGTTTCTCGCCTTCTCGATTCTCAATTTGACATCCTCGTCCGTTCCTCCTGTAGTTGAGAGTCGCCACAGTAACAGAAAGCAACAACATTGCTGTCATCCTCACACTTGACTGGATGGGTGCGTACTGCCGATGATTCCCCCCAAAGAACTAGGATGAAACAGCTGTCCAGTACTCTGTGTTGTGGTTTTCAATGCTTCTCTAACTGATATCAATCCGTGATCAACTCGTCAGAAACAAATCTAATCCTTACAAACCAACTATAGAAAATAGAATTATATTCTACCACAGTGATCAACTTCTGCTACTCTAATCTATCTTTGTGTACATGTCATAGGTGCCTTATGCTTTTTTAAAATCTAAATTCCAGACTACTTGGTTAACGATATTTTCATGTTTATTAGTTTTCCACATATACTTAATTGCCAATCAATAAATTCTGGAGCAACTGAATCCAGGTTTCACACACATATATTTTTGATTTGAACATTGCTCTTTTCTTTCTCTCTCTCTCCTCTGTTCAACAGCCGATTAAACTACCTCCGTCATTGAGTGCAGCTTTACGGAGTGTAGGATTATGCGCATCTGTAGCACCATTTTCTACTGGCAGCAATGCTATCAACACTCAACCAACATCACAAGTTTCTGAAGTATCTATCTGTGAACAGATTTCAGCTTTGATAAGAAAAACGAGTCAATCAAAGGTAGCACAACCACAACCACATCAGCACCAGCACCACCACCACCACAACACTCACAACACCAACAACAACAGCAACAAGGTGTACCGATGCGATCAAATAAACTGAATGATCAAACCTTATCAACAAATACTACGGTGAATTCCACTGTCAATCCATCTCCACCATGTAATGTAATGTTGCCTCAGTTAACATTACGTCGTCTTTGGGCACCGAATGATGGACGGATTAAACTTCCACCTCCGCCAAAGTTGTTAACAAACAGGTGAGTTCATTGAGAATCTATTGTTATGTAGTAACACTTTGTATTTCTAGTGCGATTTAAGCTAGCTTGAAAGTTTCTAATATAGCTATAGCTGTGTGGTGGCTGCTTGCCTTACTATCGACTGGCTATTCTAGCAGTGAATTTGGTGTATGAGTTATGTGCGTAGTTGGCGGCCATTATTATTATTATTGATTACAGTTTGATTCCCCACCGTATTTTTGGTACAAGTATGAAATTTTCAGCATGTGATATCGGTAGCCCAAATTTTGCAGGCCGACCATTCATATGCTGCTGCTGGATTCAACATAGAACTTGGCACCGAAGTGCAACAGTTCGACCTGCCACGTTCCAAATACCACACAAAGGTAGACAAGAAAATGAGTGAAGAGAATCAATAGAGTTTTGACAAGTATATAAGAGTGAAACGGAATGAGTAATGGTAGAAAGAAATATGAAAGATTACAGAGACTGAATACATCTGCGTAATCCATTGACAACGATTTTGAGCCATGTCACCTATTGTCTCCAGCCATTGATTCTTAGAGTCCCGAGGGCGGGCCCCAACCCGGAAGTCTGTATCTCCCTACGTGACTCAGTTTAACTGTCGGGGATTTCATGGATTGATGAGGCCATGCTTTTGTTTGGCCACCACTTACTCTTTTCCAACCTGACCATTGACATCAGGTGTGCGAGAGTCCTAACCACTGTGCCACCGACATTATTATCCTACGACTGGACCACACTGACTGTTGTATATTGATAATAGTAATAATAATAATAAAGCGTTATTTCTTCTCGGCATTTCATCATGAATAGCAAGCACTTCATAAGCATATGTGCATATTTTTAAGGCAAAACATTGTGTGTTTAAGTTTTCTGTGTCCTTAACTAAGCTAAGGAGGCAGTCAGTATTGAGGTCATTAGTCTGTTTTTCTATACAAATTTTTTTATATTTTATTAATAGTTAGTTACCTTGTCTGATGATGTCCTTGTTACATGCATGTCCTTGTATGCATGCAAATTTATAATCTTCTCTTTGTTATTTTTATCGCTAGTTAGTTAGTTGGTTAGTTAGTTCAGACCTAGCCAGTGATGACCTCATTTCATTGAGTTTTCTAGTCGTAATATGTCTCTCTCCGCCTCCTCCTCCCTCTCTGTCTTACTTAAATGTTACTTTTAATCTACACACACATACACAACCAAAGTCCACTACTATTATCATCATCATCTGTTGTTTCCTCTCTCTCTCTCCCTCATTGACTGCCTTCTTACTATAGCATAGGCTAATCAATTCATTCACATTCATTGTCCCATTAAGGTTAACCTGAGTGTATTTATTATATATTCGGGAGTGTACTTTTTCAATGATATGACCTTGTGATTATAGGAGGGGAAAAAATCGATTCTTTCACAATTGAAGTCTGGTAAAATTCACATATATGTGTATGTGTGTGTGTCAGTGTGTCTTTGTCTGTGTGTGTGTGTCGTTTTGATCTATTAGGTCAATTAAAGGACCATTGGAAAACTATCGGGCTGTACTGGACAACTGTTTCGTGCTAGTTTTGGGGACTCTTCAGTAATATGCACCGACACCGTGGCGTTCGAGATCGTGGATGTAATGAATGGTTAATGAATCCCAACTTCTGCCAATTCATGATATATATATTTAGCTCAACCACTTGCTGCTTATGTCACGGGCGACTAATCGTCGTCCTCTTGCCTGACTTGGTGGATCCAATGGTCGTCCAACTGATCTCGTCTCGTGACCGATCCTGTAACCTACCGGGATTAATAAATCGAAAAATTCTTGTCGGATGGTGGTGTTGACGGGTAGTAGTAGTAGTAGTAGTAGTAGTAGTAGTAGTAGTAGTAGTAGTAGTAGTAGTAGTAGTAGTAGTAGTAGAATTCATGATGCCCGCGTTTTTCGTCCTATTTTTGGCTCATCGACTGCATGTTCCTGCAACTCTTCCAATGAGTCTTGGTGTTCCCGCTAAGGTTGGAACCCAGTAGTCGACAATGCGTCATCTACTAAGTCATTGAGTTGGTTAAAGCATCAATAAAGGCAGAAACATTATAATAAAGGTTTTTGTATTTCCCAATGAATGAAAAACAAAACGATATTGTCTTTACTGACGTTTTGCTACTTAATCTAACAGCTTTACCAAAGTATTATTAAACCGGAATTTACAAAATCACTCAGCATATATATAACAAAGAGTAAGAGGTGAGAATAATAAAGAATATTGAAAGTCAAATCAATAAATACTACAATAACATATATCATCGTTCGTTGACTGGGGGCATTTTTTATTGTCAAGTTGGTCAATTGGTAAAGATAACAAAACCATCATGCGTAGATTGTTGGATTTGATAAGTGTATAAGATTATAAAAGCAGCGTGTGTTTACATAATGAAAGTGCTTATCACATTCGTGTTGGTTTTTTCACTTGATGGGGGAGGAGTGTGTAACCAGGTCAGATTCTGTTTATTCCATCATTCCTATTCAGGCAATTTTGATTCCACTTGATATGAAGTGCTTCTGATGATATTAGACGTTCTTGGTGATTTCTGAAGTTTCTGGATTATTTCAATGTTGTCAAATCAATTTATGGCCTGATTCTATAGCATGTAGACCTATGGTTGATGATTTTTCAAGTCTTTGTAGTTCAACAGGATTTCTCGGTGGTGGAAGAGATGCTCTATGGTGTTCATTTCTTCTGATTTTGATTTCTCAAGATGTTTGTCCGATGTATATCGCATCACATTCCAAGCATTTTACTTTATAGACACAATTAGATAGTGAATCTTTGGGGATTTGGTCTTCTATATGGACAAGGTTGCTTTGAAGTGTGTCTGATGTTTTGAAGAAAACTCTAATATCGAGCTGATTGAGTACTCTTCTGATATCGTCTGACGTCTCTTCTCTATATTGATGTTCATGTTTTCGGAATGCGTTTTCGGCCATACTTAATGTCTGTGTTGATTTTGTTGATGAAGTTCCATGGGTAGTTGTTTTGCTTGAGAGTTTCAGTAATGTTTGATATTTCTTCTTCTTTTTCTTTCTCGTCGGTTATCAGAGAGTGTGCTCGTCTAAGAAGACTTGAACACTGAAATCTTTGCCTGATGGTTTTCTAATTCCCCCTAACTGTTTGTTATATATATGCTGAGTGGATTTTGTAAATTCCGGTTTAATAATACTTTGATAAAGCTATTAGCATTAAATAGCGAAACGTCAGTAAAAACAACAATATCGTTTTGTTTTTCATTCATTGGGAAATACAAAGACCTTATTATAATGATATATTACCAATGCCCAAATTTTTCAAACCGTTAAGTGAACTTGTTTGGACAGAAACACACCAATTTTTCAATGTAGTTGTTATTATACAGTTTGCTAGGTCATATTGGCGGGATAACACTCTGATGCCGTTAGTGAAAGTGTGACATCGAGTAAACGAAACACGGTGATTATTATCTTAAATTACTAAATGTTTCAAAAGTGTCACAGATCTGTGTTTCCGTGGAATTAATTATTACGAGGATATGTCTGATTACAACAGCGGACTACTACTACTACTCTCAAGTCTGTGTGGAGGTCAACAGCACTACTCAGCATCAAAAATAAGATCCGGATTTTCAACTCCAATGTGAAGTCAGTGCTACTATACGCATCAGAGACTTGCACTGCGCGTCATAAAGAGCATCTCAAACAAACTACAGACCTTCATTAACAGTTGTCTTCGCTCAATACTCAAGATCAGATGGCTGGCCAGAAAAGATCAGCAACGGAGATCTCTGGCAATGAGCGAACCAACCAGGAACCGATTGTGAAACAAATAGGCAGGAAGAAATGGAGATGGATGGATTGGCCATACTCTGAGGAAACAAACCATCAAGTGACATCACTAGACAAGCCATCACTCGAGTGGAACCCGGCCGAAAGAGAAGCGGCGAGTTGGTCGTCAGTGCAAGAGTGGGTGACTTGGAGGAGGTCATGTGAAGAGGAGATGAAAACGTGTGGGCAGACATGGAGCCAGGTGAAGACTCTAGCAGAGAACCGAACGCAATGGAGACGCACGGCTGAAGCCCTATGTTCCTCTAGGAATTAAAGGAAACAATAATAATAATGTCTGATTAGCTTACATACTCGATTTATATATAGTCAGTAGATTCCAGATTCGAGTCCCACTGCTTCATCCACCTAAGCCTGGGCAGCCAATTTATAATCTGAATTGAAGTCAGTCAATACTTCAAAATACTATTTAACTGAATTCCACAACTTTTGTGTTAATTTGTCAGTTAGAATTCTACAAGGGAATGAGACTTGCTTGTCGCGGTTCATTTTGGGGGTTTTTTGTATGACGTTTGAAAAACTTAATAACTGGCTTAGAAAAACAATGAAAGGAAGCAAGTGAATCCTTAAAGGGTGAAAACATCTAGTCGCATTGGTTTCTGATACCATGGAAGCAGCGTATGCTTTGTAAACTGATGTCAAATTAGGCAGGACACTGTTGTGGAAGGCGGTTATTTGATATACACAGCATGTGTCAGTGTTCCACTCTCCTTGACTGGTGAAGATTCTTAACCTCATCAGTTGATGAGTTGTATTTCCTGACGATTCTACGTTTACCTTCATCCCTCTCACACACACAAACCTCTGACTGAATGCTGTAGAACGGGAGTCATAACTACTGCATGAGGGTTCAGATAACAAAACAACCCATAAGAAGTTGGAAGTAGGCAGAATAATTTGAATTGATTGACCCAACCGGTCATGAGTTTGCATTAAAAATTCCAGGAAGTCTAATCCAACGCTTGGAAATTAATCTACTGTTCACCAGTGACTGCCATCCGGAATTCTGATGTGAAGTTACGAAATTTTCAAGTATTGTAAAAAATTATATTTGTAAAATCTCAGCGAGATTGAAATGAGTAATTCCAACGTTTCCTGTGTTCGGCAATCTGGTCCGAACTTCTTCAGGGAAATTAATCGAAATTAACATAACAGAGGTTTATATATAAAAGGAACATCACTTGTTTTTAAAAACTTTGTCCAATCATGAGTCATTCAACAAGTATAATAAAATTTTATGAGCTGTGATCAAAATTTGACCTCGGACTTACAAATATTGGTCTACCTTTGTTAAACACTTTAAACAGAGTGTGTATGTGTGTGTGTGTGGGTAAACAGTTGTAAAACATTTCTTAACGTCTCCATAAGAAGATATGGACAGTCGAGAATTTTGACCAAGTATTAATAATTAGTGATACATATCCATTTTTTATTTATTAATAAGGATTTCCTATGCATCAGCTAACATCACGCCTTCATGTCCGTTCAAACTGTTAGTATCCAGAATTTTATGATTAGACGTATTTTCAAAATTATGGTGTTTAGGATTAGAGTTTAGTAGAAGCACCCTGTCGGACTTATTGCTTTGTCTTCTTTCTGAAGATTGAGTCCGAGGTCAAATTTTGATCACAGCTCATAAAATTTTGTTTATTATACTTGTTGAATGACTCATGATTGGACAAAGTTTTTAAAAACAAGTGATGTCCCTTTTTATATATAAACCTCTGTTATGTTAATTTCGATTAATTTCCCTGAGGAAGTTCGGACCAGATTGTCGAACGAAACGTTGGAATTACTCATTTCAATCTCTCTGAGATTTATACAAATATAAAACTTCTTACAAATGTCTACTTCTCACTCGGCGTTCAACTATTTTAGAACTATTCTGCCAAATCTTGACGACAGTTCATTTGAATTTTCAAGTATTGGTTTTGTAGGGATTGAGTCTGATTGGCTTGCCATTGGATCAGTTCGGTCCCGGTGGCTTAATAGTCTACGAGCTTGTTAGCCTTGTTATCAGAAGATCCTGGGCTGCAATTCTGTCAGTGGGTGTGTACTGATGAAGAGTACCAAACTAAGCAGACAAAACAGTACTGTCCACTACTCTCAGTTGGCTTTCCAATAGTTCTCTAAATAATGTCAACTTATGATGAAACTCTCCAACCAAAGGAGTTACGAAATGTTGGCCCCATAAAGTCAAAGGTGAGGATAGATTGCCACATGGTGCCTAAATGGGCAACACGCTGACTTCGTAGTGTGAAGGTTCTGCGCTGCAATCATGGTGGGGTCATGAATGCCCGCTTCCGAAGCTTCCCAAACTGGTACGAAAAAGTTGTCCGGTGCTCATTTGTAGCGACCAAATCCAACTTGTTATGTTCTGAACTCAGGAAACCGACCTCTGCGTCCTACTGTATAGATGTCCTTAAATTTTTTGAGACATGCACAGACACGAAACTCTCCAAAGCCAACAAAAAGACCATTTTTCGTTACTGGGATGTGTGATTTTATTCAACGATAGCAACATCACAGATTTATTAATCCCTTCAACAGTATCGTTAGAGGTAGCTTTAAGGTCAAGGTCATTTTCTAAGTATAAATCAATTACTCATAATCAAGTAGAATATTCTTAACAGGGTGAGATTAAAACTCTGTCGACAAGAATCTCACACTAACAATAACCGAAGACAGTCCAATGTCTAGATGACCTTGGCTCACTCAGACAAAATCACATAGTAAAGTAACACACATCATCAATGTATCGCACAACCACAATAAGAAGTATTAAAATCAGTGATTAAAGAGGGACAAAGACAAATAATGAGGATATGACTGACTGGTTTCAATGTAGAACTTTGCACCGATGTGCAGTAGTTCGAGTCGCCACACTCCATGTGGCACACAAAGCAAGAGAAGAAAGTAAAAAGAGATTTAAAAGAGAGAGGGAGATAATAAACAGAGATATGAGGGAGAAAGAATAGTAATATGGAAGAACAATAGAATTTTATTGGATATTATAAATCACAAGGAGTGAATGCATCTACGACAGCCATTGAGAACGAGGATTTTGAGCCATATCACCAATTGTCTCCAGCCTTCATTGGTTTTTACTGTCTCAAGGACCCCTAAGTGACTGGCTGGCTGGCTTAAACTAACTGTTGTGGATTTCATTGACTGATGAAGCCATGTTTCGGTTTGAACACCACTAGCTAACTCTTTTCCAACCTCATCCATCCTGGTTGAGGAAGGCGATCGATGACTCATTGGTATGCATAACACTTTTCCTAACCATCTCAATCGATGCAGCTGCTTCACAACCTCGTCGATTGGTCTTCCCTCCTCTACCTAGCACTCGACCACCGATGACTAACCTGAATATTGGTCACCCTATTAGACTACCAGCTAACACGGGCATCGAATGCAAACGTATGATCGAAGACAGTTAGTCGTGCTTTTCGTATCTTCCACTTTCAATGACCATGTCTCGCTCACAGTCGTAGAGGAGGCGGACGGAGTGGAGTGCTGAGTAGCAGTACACTCGCCGTTTACTGGATAACCAGCCAACCAGGTATGACGTCTACTAATCCAGAGATGGTGTAAGTTGGTAAATCGCATACGAGCTTTTTGTATCGGCGTTGAGATCTCTTCAGTTATCAACCCGCTGGATTTCGCTGGTGCAATTTCCCCAATAAATGAAGTGGTCAAAACGCTCCACCACTTCACCGCCTCCTTATTTCTAAGCCAAAAGTCAATGAGGATCAAGTGAACATATGATATACAAATATCAGAACAATAGTATGCAATCTAGGAGGGAAACAAGTGGATAATAATAAGAAAGTTTGTTGAAACAACCAAATAGGTATGAAAATTGTGTTTAAATCGTTCTGGAGAGATTTCCCAGACAATTTTCTTCTGTCATATCCTTGGTGTTTTAGTGTTTCTCTGATTAGTATCGATTGATAGGAAAGAAGGTAATTAGGCCTTCAAATTTTTTCTTTCTTATCTATTTTTTTGTTTTAAGGAGATGATATGAACCATGTGAAAAAACAACAAATTCTCACACAACTCAATACACTTGTGTTTCTCTTCTGCTTTGATAACTGTTCTTAAGATCATGTGTGTTAATGGAGTATATATCAACTAAAAAAGGGGTCGCGCTATGTCGTGAATTGGCAGAAGTTAGAATTCATGGACTGGCCATTGGATCGGGTCCCAGTGGCTTCATGGTCTACGAGCTCGCTAGCCTTGTAACCCCGATCGATGCGTACTGATGAAGAGTCCCAGACTAGGACGAAACAGCTGGCTGTCCAGTACTCCCTGTGTCTGGTTTTCCAATGGTCCTCTAACCAATGTCAGCTCATGATCAAATTCTGTAAAAAAGGGTGTTACTAACAGAATTAATTCTGATGTCATGAACATACATCTAGCTGTATAAGGCGTGTTTCAGAGCCATTGAAATTTATACACTTTTTTTTTCTTCATATAACTGAACTAGAAATTGGACATTATATTGCCAATGTCTTCGGATAGACTAGCTATCGTGTATTGAATACTACTCACCATTGTACACTTTCTATTATATTCTAACCCTAAATCTTATACTAACCTTATCATTGTTTCGAATTTTCTTTTTCCCTACCAAAACGAAAACGTCATGTGCTTTTTCCCCACTGAGTTATAAGGCTTAAATAATTGTATGATAACATTTAATGAAAGAATAGTACTCAAAATTATGAATTGTTTTTAGTGAGTATCGTTACGTTGTTCTATATTATACCATATATACATATTCATATGGTGCATCGGTGGCACAGCGGTAGAACCCATGTGGTCCGGGGTTCGATCTCCGGCCACAGATGCACTCCTCCTCTACTTTGCTAAGCCAGTAGTAAGACTGGTAAAGAGGGAAGGTTGGGCATGAGGCTGGCTAGCAAGCAACCCCATCCTGTAAAAAGAAATAATCACCACTGCTACAGAAACTTCAAGCCTGGAGCTTCTTTTTTCCCTCTCTGAATTCAAATTGTCAGTCAAAATTTCATAATTCCCCATGCATGTGATTTTCTTCCTGTTCGCGTGTACAATTAAAGTATACTATATTGTTCCTGTCTTTTTTTGTTTTTTATCTTTCAGTGAAATAAAATTACTTCCTGAAAAGTTTCAAACAGGACCTCCATTGTTATTGCATTCACATCGAGTTGTCACTCAAGATGCTGCACATCATTATGATCGTGATTTTATACCTAATGTCTGTTTAAAACCCTTCAAAAGTACTACAAATGATTGTCAAAAGTTACTTAGACCATCATCAAGTCGTAAACGTCGACATAGACGACAACATCATCAACAACAACAACATTCACCACCACCACCATCAACAACAACAGCATATTATAAACAACAAAATGATGAATATCATGATTCCACTCGAAACTCGACGAGATCACGTTCATCCAGTGAAGAGTATAGTTCAGGTTCAAGAAGTAGTCGTACACGAAGTTCTAGTACAGATAGTACAACTAGTAGTCGATGTAGTTGTGATAAATCTTCTATTCGACAGATGAATTCATCAAGATTACATCATCATAATCATCATCGCCATCATTGGATAACAGAGGATCAAAATAAATCCTTATCACCTGATCCTAATCATCGAAATAATTCAATTCATGAAATTTCTAATTCTAACAATTTATATGATACGAAGTATGCTAAGCGAAATTTCTCCTATACATCTTCTATGCCATGTACACATCGATTACGTAAGACACGTTCACTTAGTCGAATGATGAATAAGTGTAATCAACGCAGAAGAAGGACATCTTCATGTCCTGGAGTGTTCCTTGCCACTACTTCCACTACTACTAATACTAATACTAGACAGGTGAATAGTATGAATGCTCTTCAGTGTTCAAATGATAGGCATAATAAACGAAAGTTGTCTAATTCAATATCAGCTTTTCAAACATGTCGAAAAAAGGCGAACACCTGTCAAATTGATCGCAATGGAATGAAACAACGGTCTAAAGCAATGGCAGCTGCACGTGCTGCACAAGGTGCAGCTAGTCGAACAGGTCCAGGATTATGGGCTAGACATTTTGGTAAGTAAGCAATAAGAAGACGTAATTTGTCTGAATCGTGTAATGTGATATTTGCGCAACACATTTCGAACAATCTGATCACACACGGACTTGTCATAGAAATGAATATATATGAAATTAATAAAGAGTTAAGAGGTGAGAAAATAGACTACTTAGGTCAAGTTGAAAGGACATATTCAAGGTGAAAATAACAATGAAGACCACTAAACCAAATAGCAGAGGTAATAGTACATCTACCCTGGCTGGTATCAAAACAAAATTTACCAAAGAAGGTTTAATGTGATGACGAATTGTTGCTTTGAATGCATAAAGGTGGCTTAAACTTTCTAATTGCAAGCTAGGGCTTCCAAAAACTTTAGGATTCGCCCTCCCCAAACACGTTTTATAGATAGGTTTAAAAGATCTGTTAACGTCAATTTTATGTCTTGTCTCTAAAATATGTTTCGCAATAGAGGAGCTAGATCTCCTATTCTCACCATTAATGGGTTCTGAAGATTGTATTTGATTCTGGAGCCATTTAGGAATATGCTCTGAAGCCAGATCTTACTTGCAGAGATCGATGAGTCCTCCCTTCTATGTGTGTGTGTCCACACGTACATTCAAATTGGTAAATACAATAGGATGTGACATCATTTTTCGCATGTTCAAAGAGCTTAGATGGATGGATATATTGGCTTCACATTCTCAATTATTATGATATTAGCTGCATAAAAAGTCTTTTTAACAGTAGCGTTCAATCTTTGTCTAGTTATCAAGCTGCTATGATGCCCCATATAGGGTAGCTTGATGTACACGTCTTTCTTAGGGACGAGTTGGAGAGTGGGTCTTGGTGTTTTGACTACTTTATATCTCCTGATGAACTTGTCTGGATAATTGTTATCAACCAGAGTTTGTGTCAACTTTCTTTCTTCTTCATCAAGTGTGTCTTCAGTGCATATTCGTTGGATTCTACTGAAGAGGCACCTTACTAAGGCTCTTTCGTATCGAACAGGACAGAAACTATGGTTATTAAGATACTGTCGTAGGTTTTCTATAAACAGATCGCTTTATTGACCCATCAAGCCGTCGACTAAGCAATTTGTCTAGGAAAGATAAACAATTATCTTCCTCTTCTACAGATGTAAGTGATATGCTATTCTGGACTTCATTCATTCTAATGGGAAATATTCTTTGGCTGAAATACTAAGGCACTGGCTATTTTTAAATTAAAACTTTGCACAGAGGTGTAGCAGCTTGAGTTGCTACACTCCATGTACCACAAACAAAGGAACATAAAAGAACAATAATAAGCAGAAATGTGAGGGAGAAACAACTGTAAGCATGGAGAAATAGTAGGGTTTAATGGATATGACAGATCAAAAAGTACGAATGCATCTGCGCCAGCGGTTGAGAACGATTTTGAGTCATATCGCCAACAGTCTCCAACCATCGGTCCTTAGGATCCCAAGGACCCCAACCATTCAGAAGTCTGCACCTCCCTATGTGGCTGGCTGGCTGGCTGGCTTAAACTAACTGTTGTGGATTTCATTGATTGATGAAGCCATGTCTTGGTTTGATCACCACTAACTAACTCTTTTCCAACTTCATCCATCCTATGTCAGTCAGCTAACATTGTCCGTCGGTTGAGGAAGGCGATCGATGACTCGGTGGTATGCGTAACACATGTCCTAACCATCTCAATCGATGCAGCTGCTTCACAACCTCCTCGACTGGTCTTCCCTCCTTACCTAGCACTCGACCACCGATGACTAACCTGAATATTGCTCACCCTATTAGACTAACACGGGAGATAGGATGCAGACACTTATGATTGAAGACAGCTATCCGTGCTTTTCGTATCATCCAGTTTTCAATGGCCATGTCCAGCCCACAGTCATAGAGGAGGAGGACAGAGCGGAGTGCTGAGTAGCAGTACACACGCCCTTTGTTCGACAGTCAGCCAGAAATGGCGTAAGCTGGCAAATCCCACACGAGGTTGTTTTTGTATCCGTGCTGAGATTTCTCCCTAAATGGGTGGACTGGTCAACACGCTCCACCACTTCACTCTTTATCTTTAAGCTAGGAGTCGATGTAATCCAATCCTCTAGCATCATCTTATATCTGATAGGAACAAATCGTATGTCAAACACTCGAAAACTCTGTATTTTATCAACGTCTTCATATTAAGGTATACATTTAATTCGGATCATGGTTTCACTATTGTCTCACCAATGAAAATTTGTGATTGAGTAATCGAAATATCCCACTGTTAATTTATTTATCCATCACTTTAAGACTAAATCCACTTTTTATTTGGCACCCGGTAGATGATAGAGAAGGATTCTTCAACGCTGGCTGGCTTTGTGGCCGGTCTGTTTGGACCAGATGGTCTGATATCGAACTGTTGATGGTTTTTACTACACCTTTACTTAGCCATACTGGGAGATGTTCCCGAGCGAGCACGAAAAATCAAGTTCCTAGAGCAACGGCCGATATAACTTGCTCCACAGGCGCGGGTGAACTGGTAAATACAATTAGAAGTGGCTAGTCTACGTACTTCATCTTTCTATTTGTTCCTAGTTCTTAAAAAAGAGAGACTTATGTAAACTAGAGAGGTGTAAAGATGTGTCTCATTGGCGTAACTACTCGACTTCCAGGGAATCAACCCCCAAGCTGAAATCCCACTTCACCTATTTCAACTTAGACAGCTAAGTACTATCATCTGCCTTCATACACACGATAAGTGTGTCTTATGAGCCTGGAACATGGAAAAAATCTGACCCAAGAAAACTAGGTTTTAGCAAATCACCAGATATGGCACAGTACTATATAATAACTTCACTGATTCAGATTCTCTTACGTGGGTATAACTTCTTTCTTCTCATGTTGTAGAGCTGTCGAAGAACGTCGACACTTTGGCGCGTCTTTCGTCCTCATCTTCTGAACCTCTGTGGAGTCGACTCCAATTTCAAATGGTTTATTTAGCTTCATACACAGTGAAATAGTATTATTAGTTTTTGGGTAATCGTTGAGGTTATTACCAATAGAAATTTAAATGTGTCAAGTCTGTTTGCACTTAAGTAGTGAGTGATGCAATCTCTGATGTAAGAGGGAATAATTTTCTCAGGATCTCCGGCTGATGAATCCCAGCAAATTTATTATTATTATTACTGTTCCTTTGGGTTCCGGGCGGAACATAGGGTTCCAACAGTACGTCTCCAGTTTATCCTTTTCTCTGCTGTCCTCTTTAGCCGCCCCTCCCAACGATTACCCATAAGCTTTCATCTTCTCCTTATATGATCACCTTCATGCCACCCTCAAACGCCTCGCTGGTCGTTTCCCATTCACTTTCCAATCAAGCGGCTGCCTGGAGACGTTATCATTTGACGGGCTCCTCAGCCTGTGTCCAGTCCATCTCCATTTCCTTTGTAATGTTTATTGAGCTGTTGGTTAGTTCGCTGCACCGCCAGAGTTCCTCGTCGTTAATCCTTTCTAGCTATTTGATCTTCAATATGCAGAGAAGGCAGTTTGTTGATAAAAGTTTTCAACGGCCTGCTAGAAATGCTTGTCGTGATGTACTTGGTAAATTCCTGACTCATATAGGAGAAGTGACTGACTGACTGACCCGACATTGGTGTTGAAAATCCCAATCTTATTGTTTATGCTGAGGGGGGGAGGAGACTTCCAAAGTGATTTCAGAGTGATGAAGGTGTGTCTTGCCTTTTCCATCTCGGATGGTTTTGACATCCTCATCTGATTTATTTTGAGTCATAGGATTGGGTTGGGACTCCGTCAACTCCTAGCTTAGTGATAGGGAGTGAAGTGATAGAACATGTTGACCACTTCACCTATTTGGGAAGTTATGTCAGCACCAACGGATTGATTGGTGGCGAAATCTCAGCACGGATTCAAAAAGCTCGGGCTGCTTTCGCTAAGTTACACCATCTCTGGCGTAGGCGTGACATCCGACTATCAACCAAGGGACGTGTATACTGCTCAGCAGTTCACTTCGTCCTTCTCTATGGCTGGCTGTGAAACATGGCCAATACGAGTTGAAGACATGAAAAGGTTGACTGTTTTTGATCATAGATGTCTACGATCTCTTTCTCAGGTTAGGTGGTATAATAAGGTAAGTAATGCTGACGTTAGGCGTAGGTAGAGTGTTGGGCAAAGAGGGAAAATCAATCGACGAGGCTATAAAGTTACATAGATTGAGATGGCTGGGTCACGTGCTGCGCATGTCTAACTATCGCCTCCCCCAACGGATGGGCATTACTAGCTGATATAGGTGCAGGTTGGAAAAGAGTAAGTGGTGGCCAAACAAAAACATGGCCTCATCAATCCATGAAATCCTTGACAGTTAAACTGAGTCAGGTAGGGAGGGAGATGCAGACTTCCGGGTTGGGGCCCGCCCTCGGGACTCTAAGAATCAATCAATGTCTGGAGACAGTAGGTGACATAACTCAAAATCGTTGTCAATGGCTTACGCAGATGTATTCAGTCTCTGTAATCTTTCATATTCCTTTCTACCATTACTCATTCTGTTTCACTCTTATATACTTGTCAAAACTCTATTGATTCTCTTCACTCTCATCTTCTTGTCTACCTTTGTGTGCTATTTGGAACGTGGCAAGTCGAACTGTTGCACTTCGGTGCCAAGTTCTATGTTGAATCCAGCCAGCAGACATCCTCATCCGTGCCATTCGTCGTCTGTAGTTGAAACGATCCTGATTGGTTGGATAAGTGTGAAAGAATTGACCTCTGTCAAATTGCTTCCATTGCTAGTGATTCGTACTTGTTGTTGGTTGGTTGGTTGTTGGTTATTTTCACCACTTACGTCTTCTCTATGTTCTTTTGAAGTCCTCTCTTCGCTGCTTCCTCTGCCAGTCTGTTGGTTTTTGATTTTCTCCAACAAATACTAGACAATATGTCATGCCATACATTATGACAACTGGTCGCCTGTTCCGCCTCCTCCTTCTTCACCTAAATAAGAATAATACTAGAAGACAGTGTGACACACACTACTGTCTCACCTGATAATCAGTTTAGTTACTATCTGGTTAACAGCCTATTTTCATAAGTATTAAATAAACAACTTTATAATAATAATAAGTTCTATATCATACATTGATCTGTTGGGTAACCAAGGTTTTCAAATTCTATTAGCATCATGTCACTATGATACTGTGAAGAGTGTAAATAGACTTTGTTTTGAAAGAAAGAATGTAAAACCAAAATACAAATATGCTTATCTTTGTATAGAAATTGTGAATTACAAGAGTAAGCTGTCTCATGACATGATTCTTTATACCCCAAATGAAAATAAGTCATCAATTTCTCATTGACTACCATTTTTATCATTATTATTATTGTTATGATTGATGAGAGAATAAATATTGATCGCACAGTTTATATGGTTGTGATACGGTTAGAGTGATTAGCAGCAGAATCCAAGATGAGCGCGCTCCGTCCTATCTGAGACTTACGATCACCTCCAACGGGTTGATCACTGAGGAAATCTCAGTATGAATACAGAGGGCTAGTTTCGCATATGCCAGTTTACGCCGTCTCTGGCATAGACGTGATATCCGACTATCGACCAAAGGACGTGTGTACTGCTCAGCGCAGCAGTCCGCTTCGTCCTCCTTTATGGCTGTGAGACCTGGCCATTGACAGCGGAAGACATGAAAAGATTAGCTGTCTTTGATCATAGGTGTCTGCGTTCTATCTCCCGTGTGAAGTGGTTTCATAAGGTTAGGCGTCGAGTGCTAGGTAAGGAGGGGAAATTAATCGACGAGACTGTGAAATTACATCGAATGAGATGGTTAGGACATGTGTTACGCATGCCTAGTCATCGCCTTCCTCGACGGGAAATGTTAGCTGATATAGGGCCAGGCTGGTAAAGAGCTAGCGGTGGTCAAACCAAAACATGGCACCAATCAATGAAATCTTCAACAGTTAGTATAGGCCACGTGGGAAGGTGTAGACTTCCTGACTGTTTGGGGTCCTTAGGACGGTGAAAACCAATGGTTGAAAACAATTGGTGACATGGTTCAAAATCGTTCTCAATGGCTAGCGCAGATGCATCCACTCCTTGTGACTTATGATTTCCAATGAAACTGTTTTGTTCTTCGTTATTACTATTCCTTTTTCGTCACACCTCTGTTTACTGTCTCTAATATGCATTTCTCCTACTTTCTTCTCTTGCTTTGTGTGCTACATGGAGTGAGTGTGGCGACTTGAACTGCCGCACATATGTGCAAAGTTCTATGTCGAAAACCGACCGACCGACCGATCTGGCGGTATCTACTCGGTATCTATTCCCAGAGAATGTCTGATGAAGTCCCCACTGAGACTGAAGTCCTAAATCCATTGTTTCAAAGACTAAAGCCAATGGGGGTAACGACAGAGACACCTCTTGTTCCATGGATATCAGCTATTGTTTTGTTTTTAAGTTGAATGTTGACTAACAACATTGAACTGAAAGGTGTTTTGGTCTTTGTTGACGCCGTTGAAACGTTCGTACTCGGAGATGATATTGTTAAACAAATATGAGCCATACTTATTTTGTGAAGGTTAATGTTACTATCCAGTTCACCATTGAACAGTTCATTGAACAAAGCATAGAATGGCAGTCAAATCCCTCTCTCTCTCTACCTCAACTTCATCGACTTTGAAAAAGCCTTCGACAGACAGAGTTGGCTGAGAAGTAATTTGGAAATTACTTCAAAACTACGGTGTGAAGTACCCCCAAATCTTTATCAACCTCATTCAACAGCTATATGATAGTGGCACGTGCCAGGCGATCCACAACAACGGAAAACTCAGTGAGGTGTTCGAAGTGAATACAGAAGTAAGACAAGGTTGGCTGTCTATTATCACACGATGATATTCTTAATTGTGGTGGACTGGATTATGCATCAGGCTGTGCACATGGAGTGAGAAGACAGGAATACACTTCACTGACCTATCAGAAATCTCTAGAAGACCTGGATTTCGCGCTTGGATTATTTTTGTTTGATGTCATACAAACTCGAAGACTTACAGGCAGGCAGGCAGGCAAAAACCAACAAACTGGCTGAAGATATAGGCAGCGAAGACAAGACCCCAAGTGAACATAGAGAATATGGAGGTCATAAAGACAACCACCCAACAGCAACATCAATAACAACCAGCACCAATCATTGTCAACGGGGAAAATATGACAAAGGTTACTTCCTTCCCTTATCTAGGAAGCATCGTTTCAACCCCAGGCAGATTGTACGGATGAAGATGTCAAAGCCAGCCAGAATCAGAAAGGCAAGATACGCCTTCACCAACCTGAAACCAGTTTGAAAATCTTCTGTACTCACCCAGCATAAGCAACAAGATTCGGATTTTCAACACAAATGTCACGTCAGTCAGTCAGTTCTTCTATACGGATCAAAAACTCGACGTATGAGTCACGAGAAGGATTTTCAACAAGCTACAGACTTCTATCAACAGCTGACCACTTCGCTGGCTCCATACTGAAGATCAAATGGCCGGGTGGCCGGCCAGAAAGAATTAGCAATAAGAAACTCTGGCTAGCGAAAAAACCAACAGACAACAGCCGGTTGCTTAACAAATATGTAGGAGAAAATGGAGATAGATTGAGCCTACGTTGAGAATGCCGTCGAATAAAATCGCGCTCAGTGCAGGCCATTGTTTCAGTGGAATCCCTATGAGGGTAACATGGAGGAGATTGTGTGACGAGGCGGAGGAGGAGGAGATGAGAGACTATGGGCAATCGTAGGGTCAGCCAGCTGAAGAGGGCAGCAGAAAATAGAGCGAAATGGAGATGTCTTGTTGAAGCCGTATGTTCCACTCGAAACCCAAGGGACTAATAACAAGAATAAAATAATCCAGTCCACCAGACTGATTTAACTGGAGTCGGCTACGAATCCCAGACCGACTACTTTGACTGAAAGTCGAGTGCTATAAGATACTGAGCTACATATTCACACAACTCTAACAGTTGAAAATTAATTACTGATCATTTCAGATGACAGTGTTAACAAAGGAAACAGAGAAGATACAAAGACTTCAATGTGACCACTGGCTTTCAACATTGTTTCATTGTAAGGTGAAATCGAATTCTTAGCATTCAACTAGGTGTTTTCCCCATTCTAATGAGTTCCCGTCTATCGTTTTAGATGTTGGAACGTTGTTCACTGGAGAAATTATTTAACCGTATCATACCATGCTCAACAAGTAATAGTCTGCTAGTGGAATTTCTGTATTTTTCCCCTTGATTAGAAGGACTGAATGGATTAGTCTGTGTTGGCGTATAAGTTCCTTTCACGGATGCCTTGATGTCTTTGTTCTACATACATTTAGTGTTATCATTAAATTTATTTCCTGCAGTCAATAATTCCGAATTCTGTTGGGTATATGACTCTTTTAGCTTAAACACTTGTCGTTCAACTAATGACCCAAGGGTTCGAATCCCATCCCACCTACACTAACCCGGTTAAATGTGTGTAGCGTCATCAGCAACAGCACACATATACAATATGTGGCCTATAGCGTGGTACATGGAAGGGCTACTCAGGACCAGCGACTTCAAAAAAGAGTCAGTGTAGACTTGGAAAGATGTTCTTATAATAAAAATTGATTTTTTGTAGCTAGCTTGATATAACCAACTTAGGAAATCTAAAGGATTACAACCTAACAAAGTATGTTATAAGGAAAGGTACAAGTGATGTGTCTGACGTCATTTTGTCCTATTCAGAACTTGTTACATGGATGTATCTGCATCCCATTGGTATGGCAAATCGCTCTTTGCCTTTTGAAATGATAGATGCTTGGTTCGAGTCTCACTCGCGATGCAAGTATATCGAGTTGATGAAACCCAAAATAGGACGAAACGCTCTTTTTTTCTAGATTCCACTGCTTGTGATCATCAACCAGAAAACATTATGCTAACTTTAAGACATTGTTTAACCTTCAAGCTGATGTGCGTCGGTGGCACAGCGGTAGAATGCTCACTAGCCATGCAGGTGGTCCGGGGTTCGACCTCCGGCCACAGACGCACTCCTCCTTTACCTTGCTAAGCCATCTCTGATAATAATAATGATAATAGTAATAATATTTATTGTTTTAACTGTTACTCGCATTCCTTTTTTATATATATAGTTAATTTACGAAATTCTGATGAAGATTCTATGAAATTGCCCAACGCTAGACGATCTGTATCTCAAACATCCGATGCACAGAATAATTGTTATAATCCAATGAATACTACACCAGTCTTAGTGACAAATCCAATGAAGAATAGTTTACCAGCGGCAGTTTTAGCTTTAGAAGCAATCTGGGCAGATCTAGTACGACTTATCAATGAGTATACAATTGCTATTGAATCAAGATGCGGTGTAGATACAGCACGTCAACGATTATTTGAACAATTTATATCGATGCAAACATGTTATGCAACGCATATAGCTGCTTTAATGGATGAAAATCAAAAACTTCATGAGGTAAGTAAGCCTCCAGGTGTGTTGTGTTGTTTTACTCCCCCTCCCGCCCCATCAACCCACTCCAAACATGTGTTTCACTAATTCTGTTCAAAATCTAGTTTGATGTGGTTTTCAGATTATTATTGTCATTATTTTTGAAGGCATAAAGGTGGTTTAAACTTTCTAATTGCCAGCTAGGGCTTCCACAAACTTTAGGATACGCCCTCCCCCAAACACGTTTTATTATTATTGTTTCCTTTAATTCCTAGAGGAACATAGGGCTTCAGACGTGCGTCTCCATTGCGTTCGGTTCTCTGCTAGACTCTTCACCTGGCTCCAAGTCTGCCCACACGTTTCATCTCCTCTTCACATGACCTCCTCAAAGTCACCCTTGCACTGACGACCAACTCGCCGCTTCCCTTTCGGGTTTCACTCGAGCAATGGCTTGTCTAGTGATGTCACTTGATGGTTTCCTCAGAGTATGGCCAATCCATCTCCATTTCTTCCTGCTTATTTGTTTCACAATCGGTTCCTGCTAGGCTGGTTCGCTCCCAGAGATCTCTATTGCTGATCTTTTCTGGCCGGCCATCTGATCTTGAGTAATATTGAGCGAAGACAACTGTTAATGATGGTTTGTAGTTTGCTTGAGATGCTCTTTATGACGCGCAGTGCAAGTCTCTGATCCATATAGCAAGTAGGACTGACTTCACATTGGAGTTGAAAATCCGGATCTTACTTTTGATGCTGAGTGCTGTTGACCTCCACACAGACTTGAGAATAGTGAAAGCTTGTCTTGCTTTTCCGATTCTTGCTTTGATATCCTCGTCAGTTCCGTTCTCCTGTAGTTGAAACGATGCTTCCCAGGTAGGTAGGTAAAGGAGGTTGTTTTATAGATAGGTTTAAAAGATGTGTTAACGTCAATTTTATGTCTTGTCTCTATAATATGTTTCGCAATAGAGGGACTAGGTTTCCTATTCTCACCATTAATGGGTTCTGAAGATTCTATTTGCTTCTGGAGCCATTTAGGAATATGCTGTGAAGTCAGCTCTTACTTGCAGAGATCGATGAGTCCTCCCTTCTATGTGTGTGTGTGTGTTCACACGTACATTCATATCGGTAAATACAATGGGATGTGACATCATTTTTCGCATGTTCAAAGAGGTTAGATGGATGGTATATTGGCTTCACATTCTCAATTATTATGAAATTAACTGCATATAAAGTCTTTTTAACAGTAGCGTTCAATCTTTGTCTAGTTATCAAGCTACTTTGATGCCCCATATAGGGGTGTTTGATGTACACGTCTTTGTTAGCGGCGAGTTTAAGAGTGGGTCTTGGTGTTCTGACTGCTTTATATCTCCTGATGAACTTGTCTGGATAACTGTTATCAACCAGAGTTTGTGTCAACTTTCTTTCTTCTTCATCAAGTGTGTCTTCAGTGCATATTCCTTGGATTCTACTGAAAACTCACCTTACTAAGGCTCTTTCGTATCGAACAGGACAGAAACTATGGTTATAAAGATATTGTCCTGTCTAGGTAGGTTTTCTATAAATAGATCGCTTTATTGACCCATCAAGCCGTCTACTAAACAGTATGTCTAGGAAAGATAAACAGTTATCTTCCTCTTCTACAGACGTAAGTGATATGCTATTCTGAACTTCATTCATTCGATTTAAAATTGAGGTGGCTTGGTTTCGATGGTATCATTGTGTGAGTAATCCTGAGGTGCGGCGGTGTGTGTCTGGATACAGCGGAGATCACCATTCGTTGAGTGTCGTCATCTGGAAACACCGGCTCCGGTGGCTTGGATATGTGCTGCGAATATCATCCTAGAGTCTTCCGTACGGGCCTCTGTTCTCTAGCCCTGGGACGGGATGGAAAAAGCAGAGAGGGGGTCAGGCCATGACATGGCGTCGTGGGATGAAGGATATTTGTGTTAGGATAGCACCGATCGGTGAGTCACAACTCCCTGGTTGGGTTCGAGAGACAGCTCGAATTGGTGGCTGGAAACATTATTGGATATGGCCAAGAATTGCAATCAGTGGAGGACCTCGTGCTGCAATTTCCTTCTTTCTTCCTTTTTCGACAATAATTGACGAGTTCTGTTTGAACTTGTTAAATATGACTGCTCTCCTCCCACTGAAAATCCTTCATTCAATCTCCGGCAGACGAACTCCTTTTTGCTTCGATTAGATGATGTAGTAGACTCGGTAAAGATAGAAGGTCTGGTATATGAAGCTAATGAATCTTCAAAGATCTAGCTTGAAGCCCTGTGTTCCACTTGGAACGGAAAAGAATAAAAAGATAATAATCTGGTTGACAGGCACATGGACTCATGTGAAAAATGGGCCAAATCCATTTTATCTAACTCACAACACCCTCTTCATTCACAACTCTCCCCTTGCATCCCATCAGGTAAAACCAGAAGCCTATATAGAAAACTATATGCTCGCACTACCAAGTACAAAAACTCAACCATACCCTACTTAGCTCGTGTTCTGTGCGATAAAGAAAGCATTAGGCGTGACACCTATAATTCATTAAATAGTCAGTAGAACAACTGGATCTCGTCTTTCCAACTCATATCATTTATAGGTACAACATTTTCTTTCTTTCCTTTCCTTTTCTCTCTCTCTTTTTTTTTCCGTTATGTGCTGCTTTGTTTCTTTCTCTCGCTTAAGCCAGTAAATATGACAGCACCTACATTTCTAACACCTTCAAACACTGTTCAACTTTGGCTTTGCTACCGACATGCCAATATGTTGTTGTCATAATGAACTGAGATTTCCCTAATCTATGTAGAATTCTATTTATTGATAATGTACTAACTGGATGCAATACTGTAGTAAAAATGCTGAGAATTCCATTCTGTATCACAAGTACTGTTTTGGAATAAAGCAAATTATTATTAATATTAAAAAAAAAAGAATTCAAACGCCCCATCATCATCAAGTCTGTATCTTCTGTTCACCCCTCTAAGTTTTTGTCTGTTTGCTAAGGAATAAGAGATTTGTCTTTTGGTGTAATGGTGTAATTCACCTTAATTCTACAAAAAATGTAATCACATAATCGTATTGATAATAAAATCACTTATGTCATAAATAGAATAGTGTCTATGTGTCTTAAATTCAGTTCAGTAAGACCTGACTTGCAGAAACCTGATTCATGTGTCTTATAGAGACAAGACAAGGCTGCCTAATATCGCCAATGATTTTCCTGATTACAGTAGATTGGATAATGCGACAAACAGCGGGCAATGAGGAAACAGGCATAAAATGGACTCACACAAAAACACTTGGAGGATCTGGACTTCGCCGATGATATATGTCTGATTTCCCACAAACTGGAAGATATGCAAGTGAAAAGCAACAAGTTGGCAGAGGAAGAAGCATCAAAGATAGGAGGACTTCAGGTGAACATAGAGAAAACAGAGGTGATGAAGATTCCTGGACAACAACAACAAGAACAAAACCATCAGACAACAATCAGCATAAATGGAAGGAACCTGAAAGAAACAACCTCTTTTACCTACCTACCTGGGAAGCATCGTTTCAACTACAGGCGGACGGAACTGACGAGGATATCAAAGCAAGAATCGGAAAAGCAAGACAAGCTTTCACTACTCTCAAGTCTGTGTGGAGGTCAACAACACTCAGCATCAAAAATAACATCCGGATTTTCAACTCCAATGTGAAGTCAGTCAGTGCTACTATACGGATCAGAGACTTGCACTGCGCGTCATAAAGAGCATCTCAAACAAACTACAGACCATCATTAACAGTTGTCTTCGCTCAATACTCAAGATCAGATGGCCAGCCAGAAAAGATCAGCTACAGGGATCTCTGGCAATGAGCGAACCAACCTAGCAGGAACCGATTGTGAAACAAATATGCAGGAAGAAATGGAGATGGATTGGCTGGCCATACTCTGAGGAAACCATCAAGTGACATCACTAGACAAGCCATTGCTCGAGTGGAACTCGACTGAATGGGAAGCGGCGAGTTGGTCGTCAGTGCAAGGGTGGGTGACTTGGAGGAGGTCATGTGAAGAGGAGATGAAAACGTGTGGGCAGACTTGGAGCCAGGTGAAGACTCTAGCGGAGAACCGAACGCAATGGAGACGTGAGTGACTGAAGCCCTATGTTCCTCTAGGAATTAAAGGAAACAATAATAATAATAATAGAGAACATTATTTTAATCTCGACGAATATCTCACCACGTTGTTTTGTCTCATTCTGCTTTTCCAACAAACTCCAACAAACCAGTTGCCCTTGTAATAGTGGAAATACACCTACCCACCTATCTACCTACCTACCTACCTACCAGTTTTACTGACTGTGTGAAGTGTTTAAAAATGGCCGATTTGCCTTAGAACTTCCTTCTCAGGTAACAGATCACAGGGGTTAGTTCCGCACTCCATCTATTTCAACCTGGACGACAGCAGGGTTGGGAGGGAGTTGGCATCACCAGCCTTCACACGATAAGTATGACTCTGCCAAGCATATAAACACATCTATTCCGCATAACTGAGTTCACTGACCTGCTTCTTCTTGTGTGTTCTGCTTGATGCCCGTAGAGAACACTCAGTAACTCTTCCTTCGATGTAGTGTATATATATATATATATTTGATTAATTGGTTATAGGATTTCATCATGAGCTGACATCGGTTAGAGAACCACTGGAAAACCTGGGAGTACTGGACAGCTGGCTGTTTCGTCCTAGTTTGGGACTCTTCAGCATTGGATTGGGTCCCATCGGCTGAGTGGTCTACGAGATCGCTCGCCTTGTAACCAGAAGGTCCTGAGTTCGAACCCTTGCAGTGGGGTGGGTGCGTACTGATGAAGATTCCCAAACTAGGCTGACGAAACAGCTAGCTGTCCAATACTCCCTGGCAGGTTTTCCAATGGTTCTCTAACTGATATCAGCTCATGATGAAATCTTGTAACCAAGCAACATTTAGTTAATCTTAGAGGTTGAGAAGCTGCGATATGGATGCAGGTTTGTCTCCTTCTCCCCTCTGCCAGGGTAATCATATCCACGTGTGTATACATACACTTTTTGGTGTCTTTTGCCGTTGCTGATGCTGCTGCTGCTAGTGATAGTTGTTGTGATGTTAGTTTATCTCCTCTCCTGCATATCTAAAGATTTTGATATCTAAAACTTTGGAGAGAAAAAAAAGCAATCTGATATCATCTTCATGCCTCTTTCTGCTTTCTTATGTGTTTCACATTTTTTTCAAAAAAAGAATTCTATTATTTTTTGTCCATTATTTGGAATGTTTTATTGCGTGTATAAAAATAAAAAACATACAAATTTACATGGTTTTAGCATATATTTATGTATCTTGTTAGCCATTTCCAACAACAGCGACAACAACAACAACAAAAGGAGAAGAAGAAGGAATAAATCGATTTTTACCGATAGGAATTCCATTTTAGAAACAAGGAGTTTCAATGTGGATTTCGTCTCAAATTTATTACATCAGTTAGAGAATCATTAAAAACCAATTAGCGTACTGATGAAGAGTCCCAAACTAGGACGAAACAGCCGTCCAGTACTCCTTGGTGGTTTTCCAATGGTTCTCTAACTAATGTCAGCTCATAATGAAAATCCTGTAACCAATCAAATCCCTACAAACCAACACTTGAATATCAATGAGATGCTCACTAACGACTCACCCTATTCAGATAGGTAGTTGCCTGGGGTTCTAGTGAGAAGTCGTGACCAGTAGGGTGCAGCAGGTCGGGCGTGAGGACAAATACTCGCCAAAGACACTAGCTAGGGGTCGCGCTATGTCGTGAATTGGCACAAGTTAGAATTCATGGAATGGCCATTGGATCGGGTCCCAGTGGCTTAATGGTATATGAGCTCGCCTTGTAACCAGAAGGTCGTGGGTTCGAATCCCGGTGGGCGCGTACTGATGAAGAGTCCCAAACTAGGACGAAACAGCTGTCCAGTACTCCTTGGTGGTTTTCCAATGATTCTCTAACTAATGTCAGCTCATAATGAAAATCCTGTAACCAATCAAATCTCTACAAACCAACACTTGAATATCAATCAACCAAATGTTTTTAGCTGTTTTAATCTCGTTTGGTGTGTGTGTGTCTACAACCTTCAGGTCGTGTGTTGAGACTTCTTCATCTTTCAAACAGTGAGTTGGAATTCAGTGAAGTATGAGGCTTCAGTAGCCTATCTCCACCGCATCCTATTCTCTGCTGTCGTCTTCAACTGGTCCCGGGACTGGCCCTTGGACTCTCACCTCCTCCTCTTCACACGACCTACTTCATATCACCACCGGATTCACACGAAACTCCTCGTTTTCCACCCGCCTTCCACTCGAGGGGCTGCCTGGAGGCGATGTCATTCGATGGTCTCCTCAGTGTTTGTGTGTTTGTCTCATCCATCCCCATTTTATTCACCATATTTGTTGAGAAGTAACTCTTGATCGATTCGTTCCTAGAGCTTCTTGTTGCTAATTCTCTCTAACTAGCCGACCATGGAACTAGTGAAGTGGGCAGGCAGCTGTTAATAAACGCACACTGCCTGTTGGAAATGCTTTCTGTGACGCGAGCATCAAGTTTCTGACCCATATAGAAGAAGTGACTGACCAGCCGACTGACTTAACAGTAGTATCGAAAAGTCGAATTTTCTTCTTTTTGTTGAGTGTACAGTGTTTTCAAACTGATTTCAGAAGGAAGATGGTCTATCTTGCCTTTCGAGTTCTTGTTTTCATTTCGTCATCTGTACTGCCTGCAGTTTGGAGAGCTTTGTATACTAGAAAATGGTGTATATTTGCGCAATACATTTTGAACAATCTATACTGAAAATGAAAAAGAAAGGCCAGTGAAAATTTTTAAAAGGAATTTTCAAAATTAGAAGGATTATGCGTCAGACAGTGGGAAACGAGAAGACAGGGATATCTTGGACCGACGTGAAGAACCTAGAAAACCTGGATGTCGCGCGTGGATGATTTATGTTTGATGTCACACAAAATCGAAGACTCACAAGCGAAAACCGACAAACTGGTCGAAGAAGCAGCTGGAGAAGACAGGACTCCAGGTGAACATAGACAAGACGGAGGTTGTGAAAATAACCAACCAACCAACAAAAACAACAGCATCAGCAACATCCAGCGCCAATCACCATCAACGGGAGGGATTTGAAAGAGGTTACTTCATTCACTTATCTAGGGAGCATTGTCTCAACTACAGGAGGATCGGACGAGGATTTCGAATCGTGAATCCGGAAGGCGAGAAACACATTCATCAATCTGAAACCAATCTGGAAATCTTCGTCACTCCTCAGCATCAACAACAAAATGAATCGGATTTTCAATACAAACGTCAAGTCAGTCAGTTCTTCTATACGTACGGATCATAAACTTGGCGTGTCACAAAGAATATTTGCAACAGCCTGTTGCAGACATTTATCAGCAACTGTATTCGCTCTATACTGAACATCAGATGGCCGGAAAGAATCACCAACAAGAAACTATGCGAAAACAAACAAAACAAGAATCAATCGCTCAACAAATATGCAGAAGGAAGTGGAGATGGATTGGACACTCACTGAGGAGGCCGCTGGGTGACATCGCGCGTCAGGCCATCGCTCGAGTGGAACCCGAAAGCGGCGAGTGGGACGTCAGTGCAAGGGTGACATGGAGGAGATCGTGTGAAGAGGAAATGAAACAGTATGGACTAACATGGATGCAGGTGAAAAGTACATCAGAAGGCAGAAGCAAGTGGAGACGTGTAGTAGAAGCCCTATGTTCCAGTAGGAACCCAAGGGAACAATAATAATAAGTTTGACCACGAAGTGACATCGGTTATAGAACCAATGAAAAACCATCAGAGAGTACAGAACATCTGTTTCATCCTAGTTTGAAACTCTTCAGCAGTACCAGAACCTTCTGGTTATAAAAGGCGTGAGGACAGATACTCTAGCTGATAACACATTGACTGGTATCAGTCGCGGTAAAATTACAAATTGGATCAGGTCCCAGTGGCTAAATGGGTTACGAGCCTCCCTTATAACCGAAAGGTACTGGGTGCATACTGATGAACAGTCGCTAACCAGGATGAAAATGATGTTCAGTGCTACTTAGTTTTCCGATGCTTCTCTAACTGATGTCATCTCGTGGACAAACTTGATCAACAGTATATAAAAGAGACGTTCATCGGGATAAAAACATCAAATAGCAGGGAGATAGATTTGATGTCAGACAAAGTAAATGATACACCGTTGTGGAGATACATGGGAGATGTGAAAAGGAAGACAAAGAAATACACAGACATACGCATACACAATTCGAAGGAAGGGCAGAAGTAGCACAACAACACGGTAGATCTGTGCGCAAATGCTGCATTGAAGATGGCGTGTACATAATTAGGCAAATAAACATTCCTTCCTTAACCAAGTCTCTCGTTTTCTACCATTACAGAAATATACATTAAGCGGTGTAAAAATTCCATCATAAACATTTGTATCAGTGATGTGATACAGATGGAGATGTGGCATATATATATCGGTGCCTTGGCAATAAACTTTCCTTCAACAGGTTCCTAATTCGAATACCCCATTTCATCTGGTTCAGCCTGTAGACAACTGAGTAGTACTGTTAACCCTCTCTCTCTCTCTTCCTTCACACATAGTAAGTATGGCTTGTTACAGTCTTTGGAACATAACAAAATACTGTTTTGAATAGCCGTTTTCTGAGTATCAGGTATATGTAACTTTGCGGATGATTTCAATTCTTTAACTGGTGGATGGTGACTAGCAGTGGAATCCAGGATAAAGCGCATTTCGTCCGACTACTTGGGACTCGTCGGTGGCTGGATGTACCTGCATTCCCCAGTCAGTGAGTGATAATGTTCCCACCGAGGCTCGAACCCCTGTGGCCATAGTTTCAAACGCCAAAGCGTTATCCACTAGACCACTTGGGCTACGAGAGCCACCTCTTGTGAACCGGGTTCGAGCCTCGGTGGGAACATCATCACTCACTGACTGGGAAATGCAGATACATCCAGCCACCGACGAGTCCCAAGTAGTCGGACGTAATGCGCTTTATCCTGGATTCCACTACCAGTCACCATCTTACAATTAAATTCTAATTACATGCCCAGACATCGTCGAAGCATCTGCACAAGAAGTCGACAGACATGTCAACCTGAAACCGAGTACTTCGGTCCAATCAATCGACTGGAAAATCTAAAATCTCAATTCTTACTTATTCATATTTTTCTCTTTTCCATTCCTGATTTAGAAGCTTACACAAGCTCAAAGTCAATTATTACTCTGTCAACCACAATTACAATCTTTCATGAATTATAATAATAATAATAATAATAATAGTAATAACAGTAATGCTGTATCATCATCGTCGTTACTACCGGTTTCATCGTCAACTATGCAGACGCCAGCATCAGTGCCGATGTCAGCATTGGCGACAACAGTAACAGCTACTGCTGCAACACCATCTACATCCGCGTCGATGGCATCCATCTCAAATCTTAAATCATTTCAACCTCCTCATCATCAGCAGCAGCAGCACCAACAGCAGCAATATCATTTTGATTGTAAATCAGACAGTGCATACACGTTCAACAGGTCAGATGAAACAGGGAATGCTGTTATGTCACATACTAGTAATAATAATAATATTCAAAATATCAATATCAACAATAACTTAACCCACTTTCCACGAAATGAATTTTCATCTTTGGCTAACACTGACGCAATACGAAATGTATCTGTAAGTCTTATTATTATAATAATTATATTTCATAAGTTTTAAAGCATTTTTCCACATTTCATACGTCGTTGGTTCATTGGTGGAACACACACTGACCAATCCCGCAATCGGTCTGGGCTTCTATCCCTGATCGACACACTCCTTTACTCCGGTTAGCCGAGAGTAAGCCTGGTAAAGAAGTAAGCGGCTGGGCGTGAGGTTAACATCCCCATCCCGTAAGAAAAAACACCACTGTTACTGAAACTTCAAAGGTCACTCTTGCTTGAAGCCCTATTCGCCACGCGGAACACAAAGGAATAAAATAAGAAGGTTAGTGGTGGCTTAGAATCTTATTTAGGACTTGTTAGTACAAGAAGTGGTTTTTATGTGTTCCACTGGCTCAGAGTAAAACGCTTCGATATATGAAACGTTAAGTGCCACTTTCGAGTCTCAGTGAGCCTCAAGTAGGACACGAAGCGCGTCTCCTGAATTCTACTGACATAGCTATCAGTCACCACCAGAGAAGTTATATGGTGTTAGCCTCAAAGCGTTATCTAAGCCTGTGTACTGACAGCTGAACATTTTGCGTCCAGTTGACAGGAAAATCAAAACAGTCGTTTAGAAAAGAATTGATATTACAGAACAATAAAACAGTTTTTTTTGATTCTCGATAGATTAACAAAGCAGTCGAGTAATCGAATTTCAGTGTGTTTCTTGGGATTTACGATGATGGCTTAACTTTAAGCCTAGTGATCCAACATGACCTGCAAGTATGACTTTTTGTTATTAACTGTCATAGTTAGTTGGTAGTAGTACCAAGTAGCGAATTGACAGGAGTTCAAATTCACGGATCATTGGCTCAATAGTCAATGAGCTGACCGCATTATCTGACGATCATGGATTCAAGTCCCTATTGGTTTTCAAGTATTGGTTTGTAGGGATTTGGTTGATTGGTTATAGGATTTCATCATGAGCTGATATCAGTCAGAGAACCATTGAAAAACCTGCCAGGGAGTATTGGACAGCTAGCGGTTTCGTCAGCCTGGTTTAGGACTCTTCAGCAGTACGCACCCACACCGCGGGGTTCGAGCCCAGGACCTTCTGGTTACAAGGCGAGCTCGCATACCATTAAGCCACTGAGACCCGATCCAATGGCCCATGAATTCTAACTTCTACCAATTGACGATACAGAGCAACCGCTAGCCAATGTCTTCGGCGACTACTTGTCCTCACACCCGACCTGCTGCACCCTACTGGTCACGACTTCCCACTGGAACCCCAGGTAACTACCTACCTGAATAGGGCCAGTCGCCAGTGAGCATCTCGTTAATATTTAAGTATTGGTTTGTAGGGATTTTGGTTGATTGGTTACAGGATTTTCATCATGAGATGACATTAGTTAGAGAACCACTGGAAAACCACCAGGGAGTACTGGACAGCCAGCTGTTTTGTCCTAGCTTGGGACTCTTCGGCAGTACGCACACACCGAGATTCGAACCCAGGACCTTCTGGTTACAAGGCCAGCGAGCTCGTAGATCATTAAGCCACTGGGACCCGATCCAATGGCCCATGAATTCTAACTTCTGCTAATTCACGACATAGCGCGACCATTTCACAATGTCTTCTTCGATGAGTTACTGCCTACGAGCTCGCCTTGTAACCAGAAGGTCCTGAGTTCGAACCCTGTGGGTGCGTACTGCTTAAGAGTCCCAAACTAGGACGAAACAGCTGCCCAGTACTCCCAGGTTTCCCAATGGTACTCTAATCAATGTCATCTCATGATGAAAATGCTGTAACCAATCAACCAAATCCCTACAAACCAACACTTGAATACTTATTGTTGTCGTCGTTGGTTGGTTTTCTTATTTTCTGATACCTTTCATAAGTGATTTATTCACACAGATTTCCTGTTAGCTTATTTTTGGACAAGTCAGTTAGTATGACTATTTTCGCATGGCTTGATGATGATAATGATGAGGTTCTTGTCGTGTTGTTGTGTTATAAGCTGTTCTCGTTATGAGCTTGTTTTCATGTCATGTCTTTACAGACTGTCATAGTGTGTTGTACGTGTTGACAGGCTGCATATAAAGGCAGCAATTCTAACTAACTATACGGATATATATACGTACTGTCTATTCATAACAATAGTTATTCCGTTCTTGTTCATAGTTTGTTCTAATTTGAAACTTTACTTTTTCACACATTTGGTTCCCTTGATAAATTTCGATAAAGAAAGGCAGACGAAATTTGCAGTATAAAAAGATATCAACAGTCTATTTCACAGGTTCTCATCAGCTGCACACCCCTACCTGAAATTACAATAGTTATATAGACTAATAATAACAACATACTTTTATGTTTAAGTGGTAGTAGAGAAGAAATACTATGAAATTGACGCATGTAAGCGAAATGTACTCTGAGGAAACCATCAAATGACATCACTAGACAAGCCATCGCTCGAGTGGAACCCGGCCGAAAGGGAAGCGGCGAGTTGGTCGTCAGTGCAAGAGTGGGTGACTTGGAGGAGGTCATGTGAAGAGGAGATGAAAACGTGTGGGCAGACTTGGAGCCAAGTGAAAACTCTAGCAGAGAACCGAACGCAATGGAGACGTGGGCGGCTGAAGCCCTATGTTCCTCTAGGAATTAAAGGAAACAATCATAATGATAATATATTAAGATTACAGACTATTGTCAGGCAAAATGTGAGCATTACAATTTGTTTAGTCTAAATTTTCATCATCGATTTTTACGCGTTCAAAGTAGGAAAGAGTCGGGGGGAGGGGTAAGACAGAAAACAGGAGAAGAAATTAACAAACAGTGTTAGCTTGTAGGTTCACGTAGCAACTCAATAAACAACCGCGGTTACAGTTTATAAGATTGAGTTAAGATCACTGAATTAGATGACTAATTGATGTAATCAAAATCAAAAGTCACTTACCCAAGGGAGTGAGAGATTAATCCCACTCCCTTTCTGTATTCATAAGTCTGGTTGGTTTGAATCGTTTGATTGCGATGGCTTTGGCAAATCGTAGTAAATTTGCTGTCCTTTGTCTGTTTACTTAATATTTTGAAGGACTTAGAAATCTCTTGAAGTTTCTGTAGCATTGGTGATTTTTTTTTACAGGATGGGGTTGCTTGCTAGCCAGCCTCATGCCCACCCAACCTTCCCTCTTTACCACTCTTACTACTGGCGGCTTAGCAAGGTAAAGGAAGAGTGCGTCTGTGGTCGGTGGGGAATCGAACCCCGGACCACTTGCATGGTCGGTGAGCACTCGACCGCTGTACCACCGACGCACATATTACTCCAATAAAGCCCTTTTATTATTTCTTCTCATAACAGTTTAATCTGTTGCTCTGTTATTCCATACTGATTCAGAAGACATCACATACACTGACTGTACTACTTGCAAAGCCCTATCAGTAGTATACGCCACACGAATATTACCAGTAAATATGCCAATGTAGTTTACTGTTCAATTGATTGCAAAATCCTCTAGTTATAATAAAGCTATGATTATAAATCAGTGTAATAAAAGAAAGAAAAAAAACACAATAATATCATCACATGAGTATTTACCTTTGATTCTTATAGCTGTTTTGAAGAAAAAATCTTTATTGTTATTACTTAGTCAAGGAGTGATTCTACTATAGTTGGTTAGGCTAAGACTGAACTGATACAGGTCATGTGATCTTGTAATGAAATATTTCATAGAAGTGGATAGATTGTACAATCACATGGCTATGACGGTCATTCATATATGTGTATATTATGTATGTATACAGAGAGGGAGGGAGGGTTACTAGGGCGTAACCAGTAGTAGTGTCATGTATGTCCGTTTTCTTAAGTGTAAATTCTGAGTAAATTCCACCACTTATCAAGCTGGTCCACCCTCAATAATTGTGCAATTTGAATGAATGAATGTTAAGCGGCTAGAAGTAATTACACAATTTACAACCTCGAGAGAAGTGTGAGTCTGCATCGCTCAGTGCGCTTTAATCGGTGGGAGTTACCATTAGTCTGTCTGTCTGGATTCAACATAGAACTTGGCACCGAAGTGCAACAGTTCGAGTTGCCACGTTCCAAATAGCACACAAAGGTAGACAAGAAGATGAGAGTGAAGAGAATCAATAGAGTTTTGACAAGTATAAGAGTGGAATAGAATGAGTAATGGTAGAAAGGAATATGAAAGATTACAGAGACTGAAGACATCTGCGTAAGCCATTGACAACGATTTTGAGCCATGTCACCTATTGTCTCCAGCCATTGATTCTTAGAGTCCCGAGGGCCCCAACCCGGAAGTCTGCATCTCCCTCCCTACCTGACTCAGTTTAACTGTCAAGGATTTCATGGATTGATTGATGCGATGTTTTTGTTTGGCCACCACTTACTCTTTTCCAACCTGCACCTACATCAGCTAGTAATGCCCGTCGAGGTTGGGGAGGCGATGGCTAGGCATGCTCAGCACGTGACCTAGTCATCTCAATCTATGTAACTTTATAGCCTCGTCGATTAATTTTCCCTCTTTGCCCAACACTCTACGCCTAACGTCAACATTACTTACCTTATTATACCACCTAACGTGAGAAAGAGATCGTAGACACCTATGCTTCAACTCGTATTGGCCATGTTTCAGAGCCATAGAAAAGGAGCGAACTGCTGAGCAGTACATACATCCCTTGGTTGATAGCCGGATGTCACGCCTATGTCAGAGACAGTGTAAGTTAGCGAAAGCAGCCCGAGCTTTTGGATCCGTGCTGAGATTTCGTCACCAATCAATCCGTTGGTGCTGATACAACTTCCCAAATAGGTGAAGTGGTCAACATGTTCTATCACTTCACTCCCTATCACTAAGCTAGGAGTTGACGTAGTCCAGTCATTCCTGTAGCAGCATCTTACATTTTACAGGGGCGAATCGCATGCCGAACATACGAAGATTGCTGCTCAAGGTGTTCAGAAGACTCTGCATTTTTTCAGCATCCTCCCCTAACAGGATTATGTCATCTGCATATTCTAAGTCCATAAGACTATTCCCTGGTAACAAGTCGATTCCTAAGTCGTTAAGTTCAGTTAAGGATACTTCCATTAGCATATCTATGATGAAGTTAAACAGGAATGGGGAAAGTGGACATCCTTGACGGACACCACTGGTTGTTATCAATTCAGATGACAATTCCCCATAAGCCCTTACACGGCTACGTGAGTTTGAGTAGAGTGCCTTGATTAGTGCGAGTTACCATTCGGAGAACATTTTGGGTACATGTCGTTCCATTTTTTTTAGAAACATGATAATACATCCTACCGTTCAACTTGAAATTTTTGTTTTATTCCATAGGGGGACCTTCAAGCGGCCAAGTTAAACTTTAAGCACCACTAACTACCAATGCAGTGCGACCGCACCAATGACTTTGAGACGCTCACTGAGCAAGTTAGTGAAATCCAGCAAATAATGTTGTCACCTATCAATAAAATATGCTAATCGAAGTGTTATGCTCTTTTAAATGGGATATCTGGCAAGTTTCAGCTTAGGTTTGAGAAAGATTAAGCCAAGGACAAGTTAAGGTTAGGTTAACCTAACAAAGGCGACAGTAGATTTCATTTGAGTTAGATTACAGTGAGTTGAGGGATATTTTCACGTTAGGGTTAGGTTCAGGAAAGATTAGGGTTATTTTTAGTTTTTTTTCCTTCACGTTCCCCAGTGGAACATAGGGCTTCAAGCTAGTGGCTTGAAGTTTCTGTAGCAGTGATTATTTTAAAGGATGGGGTTGCTAGCCTCATGCCCAACCTTTACTCTTCACCAGCATTATTTCTGGCTTAGCGAGGTAAAGGAGCGCTTCGGCCGGGGATCGAACTCCGGACCATGTGCATGGTTTAGAATCACATGTAAGAGCAAGATATCCTCTGTAACACTTTTATACAGTTTTTATGCATTTTTTCATAAATATTTATGCATTCCATACACAAAAATTCCTCCTCCTTCACTTGATTGGTGCGTTCGAGGTCATTCGCTGATTGGTAGTTAGTGGTGCTTAAAGTTTAACTTTGCCCTTCAAGCTTTGAACTTTGAAGTTTCAGTCATGGTGTAGAGTGTACTACTGATAAGACTTATCAGTAGTATATAAAGGGACGTTCATCGGGATAAAAAAATCAAATAGCAAGGAGATAGATTTGATGTCAGAAAAAGCAAATGGTACAGCATTGTGGAGATACATGGGAGACGTGAAAGAAACACAAAGAAACACAACATTAAGCCCAAAAGTAGCACAACACGAAGATCTGTGCAAATGGTGCGTTGAATATAAACTGTACATAATTCGGTTATGTAAAGACACCGAATTGCAAATAAACGTTCCTTTACGAAGTCTCTCGTCTTCTACGAGAGTTACAGTGGTAGTGTTTGTTTTACAGGATACCTCATGCCTAACTCCTACTATAAACCAGCTAAGCTGGAGTGAAGGGAGGTTTGTCAGCTGGGAATAGAACGCGGATCACATCGTGAGTTTGGCGAGCATTCAACCAATGGACTGTCGACGTTGGCTTCAAATGACACATTCTAAAGTATATTTTATGCAACCGTTACTAGATGGTGAAGATGTTTTATCGCTATATATGTTTGGAATCACTCACATGATGTGGGTTTTTTTGAATATAAAGATTTTTTTCTGTCTACGTGTAATATATGTGTTTACTAGTGAAAAGAAACTGATCTACTTCAATGTTAACATCGCAATAACTCCTTTTTTTGACTTTTTTTCTCTCTCGCTGTCTGTTTGAGACAGTTTATGTAGCAATAGTGTGTGTCTGTATGTGATTATTTTGAATTCCTCCAGGATCGATTTTCACTGGACTGCAAGGCTTTCTCTCTCTCTTTGAGTGTGTGTGCTCTGCATGTGTGTTAGAGTTTGAAGCTATACTTGCTGACTGTTTGAGCAGCATTGAGGACACCTATAACTCAATTAAATGTAAGTGCATCTAACTGACGAGCCCTGAATAGGACGAAACACACACATGTAGTGCATTCCATTGCTAGCCATTGTCAACTAAGTGATTTCGACAAAAAAAGAATCAATATTCAAGTGTTGGTTTGTAGGGATTTGATTGGTTACAGGATTTCATCATGAGGTGACATTAGTTAGAGAACCACTGGAAGTACTGGACAGCTGTTTCGTCCTAGTTTGGGACTCTTCATCAGCACGCACCCACCCCTGGGGTTCGAACCCAGGACCTTCTGGTTACAAGGCTGGCGAGCTCGTATATCATTAAGCCACTGAGACCCGATCCAATGGCCAGTCCATGAATTCTAACTTCTGCCAATTCACGACATAGCGCGACCCCTAGCCAATGTCTTTGGCGAGTATTTGTCCTCACACCCGACCTGCTGCACCCTACTGGTCACAACTTCTCACTGGAACCCCAGGTAACTACCTACCTGAATAGGTCAAGTCGCTAGTGAGCATCTAATTGATATTCAAGTGTTGGTTTGTAGGGATTTGATTGGTTACAGGATTTCATCAATATTTCTCCACTTTCTTCAGTAGTATGTAAACCTTAAGGGTAGGCGTGTGTGCGTGTATGCACGGTAGTCAGGTTGTTTATTTAATGAAGTCATTGTCTGATATTTCCTTATTAATGAATAAGTTTCGTGACTTCTTGAATGGTCATTCTTATTATTATTCCCTTGGGTTCCGAGTGGAACATAGAGCTTCAACAACACATCTCCACTTTGTTCTATTTTCTGCCATCCTCTTCAGTTGGTTAACCCCACAATTGCACATAATCTCCCATTTCGTCACCACATAATCTCCTCCATGTCACTCTCGCACTGACGACCCACTCGTCGCTTCCCACTGGGATTTCCCTTGCCCAATGGCCCGCAGTGCGCGCAATATCACTCGATGGCCTCCTCAGTGGCGTGTATACCCGATCCATCTCAATTTTCTCCTACACATTTGTTTGAGCAATCGGCTCTTCGTTAGTTTTTGTTCATCGTCAGGGTTTCTTGTTGCTAATCCTTTCTGGTCGGCCGGCTGGCCATTTGATCTTCAGTATGGAGTCGGTGAAGTGGGCAGCTGTTAACAGAAATCTGCAGTAGTCTGTTGGGAATCCTTTTCATGAGACTCAGTGGAAGTTTCTGACCCGTATAGAAGAACTGACCGACTGACTGACTGACTTCACATTTGAGTTGAAAATCGGAATCTTGTTCTTTATGCTGATTAAGTACAGATGATCTTCAAATTGGTTTTCAGGTTGATGAAGGTGTATCTTTCCTTTCCGATTTTTATTCATTCCACCGCCTGTGGTTGAAATTGTGCTCACTTAGATAAGTGAGGGCAGGAAGTAACCTCTGAGAAATCTCTGCCGTTGATAGTGATTGTTGCTGTCGGCCGGTTGGTTATCTTCATCACCTCCGTCTTCTCTATAGTAAATTATTATATATAATAATAGTAGTGATAATAATGTATGGATAGTTTTATATTAGGTATTTGTCATCTAGTCTTATAGAAGTGCTAATTAAGTTATTTAGAATGATCTACTCTTCAAATGTGATTACGAACTGACTTTAGTTAGAGAAACACTGAAAACCAAGGAGTACTGTGAACAGCAGCCAAATCCAGGACTTTCAGTCTACAAGGTGACCTCGTTGTGACCACTCAATCATCCAAAATAATTCAAGATATTGCGAAGTGGTCACACTATGCCATGAATTCACAGAAGTTAGAATTCATGGACTGGATCAGTCGGGTGCCAGTGACTTAATGGTCTACGAGCTTGCTAGCCTTGTTGCCAGAATGTCCTGGATTCGAAGCCTATCGGTGGGTGTGTACTGTTGAAGAGTCCCAAACTAGGCTGACGAAACAACTCCTTGGTGGTTTTCCAATGGTCCTCTAACTGATGTCAGCTCATGATGAAATCCACCAACCAATTCATGAATCCTAACTTCTGCTAATTCGGGATATATGTCGCGACCGCCAGTAAATGTCGTCAGTGAGTATCTGTCCTCATACTCAGTTTGGTGGATCCCAGTGGTCATGACTTCACAGTAAGATAACAGTCAGGTAACTTCATCTCTTGGAGTCGGTCACTAGTACGCCTGAGATTAGTTTTGAAGCGTTACCTTGAAAAGATTTGTTTGATTGGATAGCCAACTGGCGTATTGTTTCTGTATGCCTTTTATTTGTAATCTTCTGCCGCGTTAATTTCCATTTGTAATTTATAATCCTTTTCATCTCTATTATTAATATTTATTACCAATTTTAGTGTGTTAACAAACTGAAGCCAATGAGTACATCAGACGAGATTCAGTCAAAGACTGTTATGACAAGCAATACTCCTTCTACTGCTGTTTCTGTTCCTGCTTCCGCTCCTCCTCCCCAGCCTCCTATCTCCGCTTATTCACTTCATAAGCATGCTTCCACTTCAAATGATTATCCAACTGGAGGTTTACATTCCTCGTCTAGATCCTTGTCAACAACATCCTCGTCAAGGCTGTTATCACTATCATCAAGTTTAAAACGTAAAAATGATTCATTAGATGATGATGATGATTTCGACTTTGAAACGCATCGTTCCACATCAACTTTATCATCTTTGTCTAATAATAATAATAATGTACAAGAACGTTTAGAGGCAAATAATAATTATCCAGACATATTACAGGCAACGACGACGACTCCTACTACTATTACTGCTACTGGTGCTAGTACCTGTGAAAGTCGTGAAAGTCCTTCAGAAGGAGGTGGAGGAGGAGAAGGACATAGTCAAAGTTCTTCTACTCCAACAGCCTCTGAAACTGATGGTTTCCCTCGAGATCCTGGAGAAGAAGATGAGGATGATGCGTTGATGAAGATGATCATTCAAGTGAAGAAATGAATCATACAGAATCTCAAAAAAGTCCAAATCCATGTGTAGGCGAAGCAACTGATTCAAGCGTCTGGTTAAAATCTTCTTTGACAACAATTGACAAATCTTCAACTTCATGGGAATTATCACATCAGAATAATATTGGTAGAAGTTATGATGGTACAACAGCTAAATTTATTCCTCAACTTCATGATTCACCAATGATGGTGGTGGGGAATACAACAACAATGCCGAAAAATCATACAATTTATACGCATCAACCTAAAAAACGACGTACACTAAACATCCATCTGTCCGCCACTGCTGCTGTCGCCTCGGCTGAGGCTGTGGCTGCCACTTCTACACCTAATATTAACAATAATAATAATGGTAACATATAAAAATTCCTCTCTTACAAATTATATTTCCTCAATTGTTAGTGAGCCTGTGTGTATTGTATAGGCTTCCTATGCGAATCAATATCTGGAGACGCACAAACATGGACACACATACACTACCCCATTAAAATAGTAATAATAATAGTATATGTTTATAACAGAGAAGAATATAGCAGTCGTCATGACAACAATATATATATATATATATAAATATACGTCTGTATACAGGTTCATACAGGTTCACCCGCAGTAAATCCCCCTGTACTCCATCCAACTGATGATTTCCTCCTATTACATGTGTCGAGTTCAGTTTTATCTTAGAATTATATATACCAACCATTACTAGTTATTATTATTGTTATTATTATTATTACTAGCATTACTATTATTATTATCACTATTATCATTATTATTCCTATTAGTAAAACTATTATTATACCATACTTTTGTTTGATTTCACTATACCTTTGATAATAATAATTATAATAATGTTAATAATGACGCACATACAAGGCCCGATAAAACTGCCTAGTAGCCAGAATTCAACTACTCCGTTTATACTCTCTCTTCTATTATTTCCTGTTGTCGTTTTATTGTCGTCAGAAGAGGAAGTGTGCGTCGTGCGTGCGTGTGTGTGTTGTATATACATGTGTGCTATCCTTTATGTAAATTAGATTCTCTAAGAGTAAAAATACACCCCACCACTCACCCCCTGGCTACTGAATTTTCATTTATCGCTCCCTTTTCTGTCGTCATTTTCCTTGTCTACTGTGATTTTTTCCCATTTTAATGTGATGTACTAAAGTGTATTCGTCCGTATGTATGTGTGCGTGTGTGTGAATAAAGCAAAATTAAAAATAAACTGGTTACTTGTCCGTGTATAACTGAATCCCATCTGTCCCCGTCCCCAATTGAATCAGGTACCCCCCCCCTAAAAGCAAAAAAACAGAAACCTTCCAACATCCCGTCGCCACATGCACGCACAACTCTTACTCTCTTCAAGTTTTGAAGAACAGAACATCAAAAGATCTAAATGGGTCTGTGCGTGTGTATAGCGTGTATGCGCGTGCAATACACCCACCTTTCTTCCTCGACTTTTGGGTTATCTTAGCGGTCAAATCCTTCATTTCAGCTTGAGATTCACGCACACACAAACACACACATGAATGAAAACGCACCCAGAGGAACTTATCTCTATTATACTATTATTGTTACCGTGCATTTTGTTTGTAAACTCCACGTCCCCATCCTCACCCCCTTCGGATATGGATTGCTTTATTCTTTTTTTAACTCCGATTATCTACGCTACACTAAAAGTTGACCTTTGACACACACTGCTTCCTACTACTACTACGACTACTACTAAAACTACCTACCTACCTAGCTACCTAGCTAGCTAGCCATTATGAATATCATACTTTGTCATAGTTATGATTTATATATATATATACATATTTGGTGTAAGTTTATTGATTTTCTATTGATTCCTACCTACTCTTTTTAAACAACATCATTGACTGTCTGACGACCACATTTATCATCTCTGTGCATTTTTTTGTTTTTTTATTTCATCAGCTTCTTCTTTATTCGTTACACTTTTATGATTAGTGTTATTACCATTACTACTATTATTATTATTATCATTATTATTATTATTACGTAACGATTATTGTATTTCTCTCTTTTTCAACCTGTATGCAAGTATATTAGTGTGTGTGTGTGGGCGTGCGTAGGTGTGTATGTGTGTGTGTGTATCATGTGTTTATCTAATATGTAACAAATTTGTCCTGTTCTACTTTTGGCTACTTATGTTTGTTTGTGTGTGTGGCTATCTGTGCGTATCTCCACGTCTTTTGGCTTGTTCCCCTCAAAATTTGATACCATTCTCTACACATCCTCTTCATTCTGCTCAGTCCCCATCTTCTGGAACCTGAAGTTGTGTAAGACAGCTATGCACCATCATACATAGACACTGACGCAGGTACCTATGGTTCTTTTGCGTTCATTTCCATACTAGCATCCATATTTTGGGTCTTATTTCCCCCCCCCCCTCTCTGTTTATGCGTGTGTGTTTCATTCATAATGACTGTGTGTGTGGACATTGCGCCGACAAACAGCTGTTCTTCATCACTATCCCTATTATTATTATGATTATTATTACTGATTGTCAATATTAACACCCGTGTGTAGATGTTATTTTCAAATATTACCATTATTATTATTATATCATCATTATCAGGGGTTTCTAGTTCGATTCTATTTTATTATTCTTATTACTGTCGTTGTGTTTATTATGTATAATGTCCTCCTCCTTTCTGGTTTGTTTTCTTGTTCTTTTCTGTCTGACTGTAAATTTATTTTTGGATACACACAAACATAGACGTTGTTTTATTTTGTCTCTATGATGGTATATATTATTGCTAGTACTAATCATTATAACAATAATAATATTAACAATAACAACACTCAACACTGCTGTCTATTACTTAATTATTATTATCATTATTATTATAATTAATCAATAATAATTTAATTGATTAATGACTTTGCATACTGTGAACCCTAGTGATGATTACTATCCACTTCGGTTTTAACCAAGTGTTTACTTTACTCGGCGCCTCCTTTAACCCCTGCCCGCCCGTCTTTAACATCCCTTCTTGCCCTTCGATGATGATGATTGGTTAATTGGTTAAGATGTATCCCTCTTACTTTTACTTTTACTCATAATAGCTACCTACCTACCTACCTACTTCCTTACTTACTTACTTACTATTGTTAGAGTTTATATTAGTAAATCTCCTCTTTCCACAATGTTATTGTTACTTTCCTCTAACGTTACTACCTATTCCCCACCCACCCACTTATGCACGCACGCACGCACTCAGACACACACAACCAACTCTTAGTTGCTATGGTGTTTCTCAGTTATATAGTTCCTTCCTTCATTTTTGGTTATCAATATTTGACTGTTCTCTTTTTTCTTGTTGTTGTTAATGTTGTTGTTTTGTCGTTTTCACCGCCGTCACCGTCGTTGTCCTAGTCGGTGTTGTCGTCAGCAGCCGAAGCAGAATCAGTAATACTAATAATAATACCAATATATTTTGTGAGCGATACAATACGTTGAATTCTTAAGAATATTAATATTTAGAAAAAAAACGAAAAATGAAATTGTCTTGTTTGCAAATATATACATATATATAGATATTTTTTAAAAGATTCAATGACTTGACTGTATTTCTGTCCTGTAACTGTTACACTGACGCGAAAAACGCACATCAACACACACACGCACAAAAACACACAGAAATACAGACTGACGTACATACATACAACAATATATTTGTCCCCGTTTTCAATTCTATTTATTTGACTGGTTTCATATATTGATTGATCTATTGATTGATACATTCATTCACTCAGTTAGTCAGTCAGTTATTGATTTTGTTATTGATAAATCGATTTATTGATGATGATGATAACAGTAGGTTGACGGTTCACTCGATATGAAGATATACATACATCTGTATAATATTGAGACTCAAGTAGGCGAATGTATACGCGTTCAGTTGTGCACAACACATACATACACACGCACATACACACACACACACACAAAGAGAGACACGTAGACACTATTCATTATGATTCTGATCAATTAACACAGAGAAACCAAGTTTTTGTAAAATTCCCGTTACTATACATATATATATATACACTCAAATATAAATATGTTGCTTGCTTGTGTTTTTTTTTTGTGGACTGTATTCACAATTTCTTTAAATGTTTCTCCTGACTTATTCTCTTCCTCTTCCTACTCCACCTCCTGCTCCTGCTCCATTTTGGTTCTCTTTTCCTCCTCTCTTTTGTTTTCCAGATTTTAATGATTTAAATATAAATAAACAAATCAATAAGTTAATAAATAAATATATTGATAAATAAATTATACAGTTTTCTCATTTTCTTTTCTACAGGAATGATTCCTTCTATTTCTCCTTTTTTGAAACCGGTCTGAGTAGATTGCATAATCATTATAATAATTAGAGAGAGACGAGGTCGGGGGGGGGAGAGCAACCTATACAACATGAGTGATATAATAATAAAAATGTACATTTCGGATATAGAAAGAAATTTATCACAGAAGAAATTTGCAGTCTATGAACTTCCTGAGGATTTGTTATTTCAATATAGAAAAAATCCCCATTTAGACATTTAGAAAACAGAAAGATTGAGCGAAGAAATATTTACTTTTCAATTAGATCCTCATCTCTGGCTCTACTCTAATATACACGTATAGCACTTTTATTACAATACACAACAGTTTACCAAACAAGTGGCACTGATATGTTTGTTAACAATAATTAAACAGTGTCAAAATGTCAATGGGTTGATAATTAACGCAGAAAATCAATACACATTTAAAAGGTAGAAATGGATAGAATAAATTAATTTTACAAGGATAACACGTAATTAAAGATGAAGTGGTCAAAATAAAAATAAAATAATTTGGACAATTATAATTTTTATAGGGGAGGGGGGTGACGTAGTCCTGTCTTGTAACGATGGCCACGGTAAGGAAAGTGGCTGTACAAATTTCTTCTGAACACATAGGCTTGGCTTCTTCAGGTGGATTCCGATTGCTTCAGCTGTCTGTAGAAGACGAACTCGTAGAGCAAAGTTAAGATTAGTCGGAATGCGATAAATAATTTTAAATGCAGTATTAACATCAACTTTGTGCTCAGTATCAACAAGGTGTGCTAAAGTAGAACTACGAATAGATCGTGTTTGTCCGTTGCTTAACCATGCTACTGGATGATGTTTGGAAATACGACGATGAACCTGCCTAATTCTACGCCCGATGTAGCTGGCTCCGTAGCTGCAGTCAAACTGGTAGATACACAGAGAAGAGGCAAAATTAGGTAGTTTTTCCTTATTTCTCGAACATAGAATAGGGGTGGTCTTGAAGAAACAACGTTCCTCTGCTGCATAATAAGCTCTTTTAACTGCATTCTTCAAGCGCTGTGTTATTATTTCGCTGATGTTGTCACCAAGGAACTGCAATTTTATGAACATTGGTTTTTTCGGAACTGTTGCTATACTGACTGTCTTTGGTTCTGAATTCATATTCTTCTCAATAAATTTATCCGGATAACCATTTTTTTCTAAGTAATTCTTTAATAATCTTAAGCTCCACATTGAGGCAGTCGTCTGAATAGATTAACTTAGCCCTATGAACCAGACACTTTACCAGGTTACGTTTATATTTCAAAGGTACAAAACTCAAAAAATGAGTGTACTGACCTGTTGTTGTAGGTTTCCTATACACACTCCTTCTTAGTGTGCCATTTTCTTTCCTTGCCATGAAGACGTCTAGGAATGAGATACTGTCATTACTTTCTTTCTCTATGGTAAAGTTTATTGCTGAATGTGCATCATTAAACTTGTCAAGGATATTCATTGCATCATTCTCATCTTTCATAACCACAAATGTATCATCCATATATCGGCAGTAGAAATCCATGTCATTAATTACTCCTTTCAGTGGTCCATTCTCTAATTTCATTGAGTATGTCGACAGTGTTAGCCAAAACAGAGCAGAGAAAAGGAGAACGAAACTTATCAAATCATTAGACAGTCAAAATCCTGAAAAGGATTTCCCTTCAGACCCTTATCGGTACGTCCATAATTTTTCAAGTGTAACACTAGATAAATTACAGTTAGAAGCTCTATCCTTGGGTCTTAGATTTTGTGACCAAGGATATAAGGTCAACCAACTCGATACCAATATCCAGTTTGAAAACCTCCTCCTATAAACAAAAGATTTGATACCAACGTCAGACGATGAAGTCGCTAGGTTTAAAACTACACTAGTCGACAGTTGTCAGCAGTATAAAAACAGTAGTCATTCTAGTAAGAGTTTGCTGACTAAACAGCATCGAGAAGCCCTAAGAAAGTTAAGGAACAACGAAAACATTATAATATGTAGACCTGATAAAGGAGCCGGAGTAGTACTGATGAATAAGTGTGATTATGTTGACAAAATGAACTCGCTTTTAACGGATGAAACGAAATTCCAAAAGCTTATCAACCCAACAGATCTAGACGGAAAAGCTGAAAAGCAGTTAACTAACACTCTTAAGGAACTGAGAAAAAGTGGAGTAATCTCAGAGGAAGCCTATAACCGTCTTAAACCTACTGGAAGTAATACTTCACGTCTGTTCGGTCTGCCCAAAGTACATAAACCAGGACTTCCTCTTCGCCCAGTCCTGGATATGTCAAATTCCACCTACCATGGAGTGGCAAAGTGGCTAGGTGAACTCCTCCAACCGCTACACAAGATGGTAGTAAATCATAGTGTTAAAGACTTTTTTGAATTTATTGCTAACGTGAATGATATCAATGTAAATGGGAAGCAAATGCTTTCCTTAGATGTAGCGTCACTGTTTACCAATGTACCACTTATGGAGACTGTGGAATGTTGGTATTAGATGGTTGGAGGCAATCGGCAGGAAGCCTTCGACCTAGGTTTCGTGCTAGTTGGCACTCATCAGCAAGGCGTATCTGCAACCTTGAAGGAACTCATGTCCCTTCTGAGATTCGAACCCGCGTCACCCAGTGCTGCAGTCAGAGACGTTACCACTGAGCTATTCAGGCTCGCGACTGACCTCCTGTAGGACTGTGTTGGATATTTTTGATTGAACACTAGTCAGTAACTAGTGTAATGTGTCTAGTCCTATCTTCGTGCAGACTGGATTCTATCAGTCATGTTTGCAATGTGTACACTTCACATTCAACAACCTTTATTACAGGCAAACCGACGGTATTGCCATGGGTTCTCCATTGGGGCCAATTTTGGCAGATTTCTTTCTTGCCAAGATTGAAAATGGTCCATTGAGACAAGTAATAGAGAAAACCGATTCTTATTTTCGTTATGTTGATGATACGTTTATTATTCTTGATGTGAAAGCTGACAAGAATGAAATGTTAAAAAAGTTTAATGATGCACATCCATCGCTCATCTTCACTTGTGAAGAAGAACATGATGGTGTGCTTGTGTGGTTGCCTGTAAAAGGTCGGATTAATTCTGTAAGAGGCGTACTGTCAAATTAGTCAATCCAGCGTGACAATCCACTATAGTTTGCTTCCTAAATTATCTAAATAGCTAAAGGGAAATTTATTCCGTATTATTATTGTTATTATTCCTTCGGGTTCTGAGTGAAACATACGACTTCAACAGAATATTTTCACATTGTCCTATCCACTCAATTCGGCCTCACGTCACTCTCATGAGTGATGCCCAACTCCTCATTTCCTATCTACCTTCCAGTCGAGTGATGACCTGATGCGCAATTTACGTGTGCTCCTGGAAGTGTGTGGGTGGTTGTTACTTCCCGGCTGCCCACACCGGATACCTGAAATAGAAAGAGGGTGTTAGTGTTGCGTGACCGTAGAGCCCAGGGGACAACTGCTTGAGGCCAGCCGGTCACACACACACGGCCTGTATGAACTGGTTTCTTGGTATGGTTCCGTATTAGTAAACTTATCGCCGGTTACGGACCACCGTAGGGTAAGTCGGGATGTATAATTGTTGGGGTCGACCTTTTGTATGTAATCCCCTCTCTCCAGAGAGGAGAGACAGCATAGCTGGCTGGCATGCTGGTCATCTGAGAGAAACACCTCACTGCTGTTACATCCCTGTTCCCCAGCAGTACAACTTCGCCCACAGACCCCAAGCATAGTGTAAGAATCGCTATCTTAACAACCTTCCTGGCATGGTAGGACCTGCAGGAACAATAGTTCCAGCCAGTGTAGCTTGTTGGGTCATTGCGATGTGCAAACCCGGCGACCACCACGTCAAGGTAGCAGCTATCGGTCAGGGAATTTACCCAACGATCTCCACAGTGTATGTCCAAACCATCTTCATTTCTTACAGTATATCTCTTGAGCAATAGGTTGTTGATTGCTTCGTTGACCGCCAGAGTTTCTTGTAGCTAGTGCTTTCTGATCTTCAGTATGGGGCCAGCGAAGTGAACAGCTATTGATAGAAGTCTGCATTGGCCTGTTCGAAATGTTTTTTGAGACAGCAGTGTTAATTTTCTGATCCACATAGAAGAAGTGACTGACTAGCTTAACATTAGTGTTGAAAATCCCAGTCTTGTTGTTTATGCACGGATGGAGTGTCCTGCCTTTCCGATTATTATATCTGGTTTTGACGTTCTCATCCATCTGTAGTTGAAATGATGTTTTCTATAGTTTGGTTTGTAAGGGTTTGTTATGTTTTTACGAGTTGATCACGGACTGATATCAGTTAGAGAACCATTGAAAACCAGGGAGTACTGGACAGCTGCTGTTTCATCCTAGTTTTGGGAATCATCGGCAGTACGCACCCACTGGGATTCGAACCCAGGACCTTCCGGTTACAAGGCAAGCTCGTATACCATTCAGCCACTGGGACCCGATTCAATGGCCTCATGAATTCTAACTTCTACCAATTCGTGATTTAGCGCGACCCCAACCATTGTCGTAAAAACATAACAAACCCTTACAAACCAAACTATAGAAAATTAATCTGATGCTCGCTAGTGACTTGCTACAGGATGGAGTTTCCTGGAGTTCTAGTGAGAAGTCGTGACCAGTGAGGTCCAACTAGATGTCATGTGTGTGGATGGATGTCCCACCAACGACAATGGTTGGGGTCGCGCTAAATCACGAATTGGTAGAAGTTAGAATTCATGAGCCATTGAATCGGGTCCCAGTGGCTGAATGGTATACGAGCTTGCCTTGTAACCGGAAGGTCCTGGGTTCGAATCCCAGTGGGTGCGTACTGCCGATGATTCCCAAACTAGGATGAAACAGCAGCTGTCCAGTACTCCCTGGTTTTCAATGGTTCTCTAACTGATATCAGTCCGTGATCAACTCGTGAAATGATGTTACCTAGGTAAGTGGAGC